TCTGCGGCTCCGGTTCGATCCCCGGCTGCTCCCCGGCCACCGAAGGAGGGTCCCATATGGCGCGCAGACCTCTCCTGCCGCCCGCTGCTCCCCTCAGCAGTGTACTTCGGTCCTTCTGCCTGCTCTGCTCCCTGCTCTGGCTCTGGTGAATTCTCTCACCCTCCCGTGCTTCTGACTGTACACAGTGCATGTATAAACAAAAACAAACAAACAAACAAATAAATAAATAAATAAAACATGCCTCTATTAAAAAAAAAAAAGTGAATCTCTATGCTCTATCCAAAAAAGTGAACCTCTAGCCATTCTTAGAAACAAATCAAACCATACATTTTTTTTAAGATATGTGCCCTGCATCTGGTAGGTACTACAAAAATAGGATTTACAGTAGCTCGCTGACTTCTATCTTCCTTAGTTTCTACCCTATTTACAACCTGAGAAAGGCAAATATGTATCTTTAGCCAACTACAAAGGATGTCTTCCTTCTAGTAAGATTACCTTCAGTTCCCCAGGCCAATAACTTTAATCAGGGCATACTTGAAGCCTTTCCTTTATTCTGCGAAAAAGCTTTTGCACTGCCCTGCCTTTGAGTCTCTGCCAAATGCAAGTGATGTGACTGATTCGTTGGTTATAGTGAGCTCTGAATAAACATCGTTCTCCTCATTTGGGTGTTTTTATCTCCATATGTGGAATTTACATAATTATAATAGTTACATAATTTACAACTAGCGGCCTTAAAAACTCTATATATGTCTACACATAGTTATTTGTAATTTCACTAAGGCTTAAATCTGAAATGTGGTTTTTGACACTAGTATATAGGAAAGTTAGTGAGTAACTGCCCTGTACATACACACCACTTTGCTTTCATATACATATTAAGGTGTATGTACTTTACTGGGGAAATTACATTCTTTGTATATTGGGGGATTTTTTTAAGGAGTCACACTTAATGCTTGATGCATGTTAAGGCTCCACTACTCAGAGTTCAAAAAGACTTGAAGAGTAAAAAGGAAATTAATCAAAATGAAAAGAGCAGACTTTTTAAGCCTTTGAGATTAGGAAAATGAAGGTATCAATTTATGCTCATTTTTTAGTAAGCTGACTAAAACTTTAGGTATTAAAAATGTCAAGAGACAGCAGGATGTTTAAGTTCATTCAATAAATTTTTTAAAAAACATTTATGTATACAAGAGCTGGGGTGCAGGTCAGAGGTGCAGGAGGGTACGAGGATTCACCAGAGACAGAGTGAGGAGCAGAACAGGCAGATATACTGAAAAACACTGTGGAGGGGAGCAGCAGGTGAGTCAGGAGATTTCTGGTGAGCAATGTGGGTCAGCAACCTGGCTGGCCTGGGAGCAAACTCATGCTGCAGTGGCTGTAGATTGCTTCATAGTGTTGAGATTTTACCCCTTGTACCACCAGGGAGGTCCCAATAATTTTTTTTAAAAGAATATTTATTTGTAGAAGAACTGGGAAGTAGGCCACAGGTGCAGGGATGATAGGATTCACCAGAGACAGAGAGGAGAGCAGAACAGGTGGGGTTATCAAACACACTGCTAAGGGGAGCAGTGGGCAAGACATGAGAGGTCTGCTGCCCTATACATGGGTTAGCTTTTGTATGGGGCTTGAACTCAGGGCATTGTGGTGATGGTGTTGAGACTTAACCCTTAGGCCCCCGGGGAGGCCCCATTCAATAAATTTTACCTGCCAACTCTAGGTATTATCCTACATGCTAGAGAAAAATATAAACAAAAATCCTTGCTCTTATATGGTAGATATACAGATCTCCCTGGATTTAAGGTCATGTTACAGCATGATAAACCCATTGGAGGCTGAAAATGTCAAAAACACATTTAATAGACCTAACAAACATTTTATTTTAGCCTAGTGTATCTTAAATATGTTCAGTAGCCTACAGTTGGACAAAAACACAAAACATAGAACCCATTATTAATAAAGTGTTGACCACCTCATGTAATTTACTGAATACAATAACTGAAAGTGAAAACATTCTGGAGTATTGTTTTTTAATTCTCATGAACTGGTGACTGACTCAGAGCTGTTACTCACTGCTACTGCCCAGCATCATGAGAGACTGAACATACAGAATATGACAGGGAAAAGATCAAAAATCATTATTCAGGGTATGAATATTGAATACTGAGTACTTGTGTACCACCATAAAGTTGGAAAAATTGTGAGTGTATCTGAAAATTTATACAGTGGGGAATTGGTGTCAAGGAAAAGGTAAAGATAAATGCTTGTTAGACTTAGTCTCATAGAGGTAAGAATTGAAATTACCAGATCAGAAAGCAGTTTTCAAGATACTGAAGTTACTGAGGATTTAGACTTGGGCAAGGTATATATAAAAGGACAAAAGAGATTGCCTATAGGTAGGCAGGTTGTCACAAAGCAGTCTAGAGGAATTTCCCTCAAAGAGGGCTGGGAAAGAATGTTAATGGAAGACTAACCTAAAATTTGACACTATTTGAAGAAGGCCTGTTTAGAATTACCTTACCCATTAGAACATTGCAGCATTGTGCTTTAATTTATCAAATGCTCTGGTGGTAAGTGGTAATTTAAGTTTATGTACAGTTACAAAGTACCATCATTTGCATCATTTCTAAAGAATGTTAAGAAAGGAATAAATGGGTGCTGAAATACTTAATATCTACAACCAAATTTCCCCCAACTAGTAATTTCAAATAAATGTTTACAATTTTTCTACTTTGCATGATAGGTATCTCCGTGCATGATGCTGATAAGTAATTTATTAGAAACCGATTGCATCAACACAAAAGCTGTGCATTGGTATTGTTTTACGTTGGAGTGTGTATCCAATTTCAGTGAAGCAAGATTTTAAAGACATATCTTAAAGAAAATTTAATTTCTTCTACTATCTGATAAGACACATGTAGTTAAATTATAGAACCCTCCCTTTTTAAAAATAATTTTTAAGAAAGATTTATTTATGCATAGAAGAGCTGGGGTACAGGCCAGAGATGCTGAGTGTGAGAGGATTCACTAGAGACAGAGTGGGGAGCACAACAGGTGGATCGACAAAAAATACTCTGCTTAGGGGAGCAGCCCACGAGACAGGAGAGGTCTGCTGCGCCATGTGGGTCAGCTCCCTGGCTGGCTGAGGATTGAACTCATGCTGCAGTGGCTGCTGACAGCTTCATAGTGCTGAGACTTAACCCCTTGCGCCACCAGGGAGCCCCTAAATTATAGAACCCTTTAATCAATTTTTGTTTTCTAAATACAAGCCAGGACACTGGCCAACACTTTCCCCCTATGGCATATTTAAGAGATTGCTAAGAAAACATCTCCATAGTTCAACAGTTACTAACATTTGTGAAGGTCTCACTAACTGATATGAAGTGACCAAAGCCCTCACAACTGTAAACTCATGTCGTCGTGGCATATACAGAAAAAACGAAGGAGGCAAGTACTACCATTTCTGCCCATTTTTTGGATGAGGAAACCGGCAGCCTAGGGACACAGTTACAAACTTCAGGAGCTAGGAAGTTTACAATCAAAAGGATCCAGAAAGCAAAAGCTCCTGGAGCTCTGCTTCTCAGTCTCCTCTCCTCGGAGCGAGGGCTACGAGTCTCTGGGACTTTGGAAGAAATGCACTTGCTAGTTTTAGCTCCACGGGCGGAGCCATCTGGAGGTTCGGCCGTCTCCCTAGTCCTGAGCTCTGCCCCAGCCACCCATACCCACTCCCCGCTCCTCCTTCCACCGCGCCCAGCTTCACTCCTCGCCTCTCCGCTCCTCCCCGGCGCCGCTCCCGCACCGCTCCCTCCCCGGGCGCCCAGCAGCACCCAGCTCAGCTCCGCCAAGTCACCCACGCGCCGTCGCGTGGCCGTGACGTAACTCGCGCGCGCCGCCGTCGCGCCGGGGGCGGGGCCGCGGGCGTGGAGCTGGCGGGCCCGGGGCGGGGCGGGGCCAGGGTCCAGCTCGGCCTCGGCGCACAGAGCTGCTCGCGGGCTCCCTGACCGTCTGCGCTCCCGCCCTCCCGGGTCGCGGAGACCGGTGTCCGGGCGGCGCGTCCCGAGGGGCGCCGGAGCGTCAGGGCTTGGGCCTCCAGCGCAGCGCCATGGCAGGCGCCGCCACCGCGCTGTGAGGCCGCGGCCGTGGCGCTGGGCGCGGCGGGGCCGGGCCGGGGCCGCTCATGGTGCCGCCACGACGCCTTCGCGGGGCAGGAAAGCCAGGTAGGCGGGCGGGGGCGGCTCCCGCAGCCGCCCGAGCCCACGGCGGGGCCGAGTGGCCGCCGGGAGCCACGCCTGTTGCTCCCGGCGGCGGCCAAGCGCCTGGACGCCGCGGGGACTCCGGGGCGCGGGGGGGGAGGCGGGCGGCCGGGGAGCTCGGGGGCTCGCCCTGGGAGGAGGCCCTGGCGCTGCCGGGCTTGCCTGGAGAGAGGAGCTGGAGGGTTGTCTTCCACAGCTGCTTCCTCCTCCGGCTCCTGAGCTGCTGTTTGGCTCCCAGAGGACGGTGTCGTGACAGGAGTGAGGCGGGCAGCGCGGAGAGTGCTTGCTCGTTGTCACGGAGGTGACTGCAGACGCGCCCCCAAGACTCAAAGCAAGTCGCCTATCCTGACACCACCAGACTGTAGTGGAGGCGATCTGGGACTTACAGGACCCCTAGATACAGGCGCTGTCTAGACACAGTCTCCTGGGATGGAGTCCTCTGGAGGCGCGTGGGGGTTCTGTGTTTAGGAACCTCGGAGGAGCCCCTTGCCAGGAGTGAACTACTTTTAAACGTGTTGGGTTTTGAGTATTATAGATTTTTTTCCTTTACCGTGTACTGAGTGTAATGTGGAGTGTGCAATAGAGAACACAAGTCTAGAGAAAAGTGTCACTGATAGTTAACACACTTTGGTGGCTTTCTTTAATTTGCATTCATTTTGAAGATGGAGAGTAAAAAAAAAATGTGATGAGGCTTATTTAGAGTGTTTCATATTTTCCTAAGCATTTTGTTGTTGTTGTTGTTCTTTTTAGATGTACTGAGTCCTTCACCTCCCTTTAAAATCAGCTCAGTCAAGTTTTCAGGCTTGGCTCTTGAAGATCTCAGAAAGGCCTTTAAAATAAGGTAAATTCCACACTTTTTAATTTGCTGTGTGACTTTCAAACTCGTTTTCTTTAGCTAGCAAAATGTTATGTTTCTCTTATATTAATTTTCTCGTTTTTATTTTTCAAAAATCATCTCTAATGTGATCTGTATTTTCTAATAAACAGACTGCAAATGGTGTGTGTATTTATCATGAACCGAATGAATTCCCAGAGCAGTGGTTTCACTCAGCGCAGGAGAATGGCTCTTGGGATTGTTATTCTTCTACTTGTTGATGTGATATGGGTGGCATCCTCAGAACTTACATCGGTATGTAATTGTTGTTTGGGAATTATGTTGCATTATGGCAATTTAATTTCTGTTTCCTACAAATTATAGTTATAATTCATAGTATTGTATTTTAAAATATCTCTAGTCATTACTATCTGTCATGATTACTTCAAGCGGTATCTCATGAATATTGTTGAATTATTATGTTTTCTTGCATATTGAGTTGCTGTCAATTCACGTTGAAACTGAAAGGATACCCTTTTATTGTTTCATGGTTTTCTTGTGTCTTTCAGGGAAGTTTATTTAGAAGGTGAGGCTATATAATCATTTTCTAAATATTAGAAGGTCTTTGTGTTTAATTCCCCTAAATTCGTTTTTTTTTTTCTCTCTCTCTATAAGTGTAGTTTTCTAATGGAATAAACATTTAGAACCCAAAATCATTTGTCACCATTTAGTTGAAAGTAGGAATGTCTTTGAGCAAATGAGTGAAGGTGATCAGTTTTCATGTATAGATTTCTATTGTGTACAAGTCTGGGTGCATGCACGTTATGTATTTGCTGATTTAGACATTAATGTGAAGTGCATGGTAAGCAGTGAATACTTTTAAATTTTATTTTCTCTATATAGATGATCTATAGGTGGAAATGTGATATTCTGAGTTCAGGAAACTAGTTATTCTTTCTATTGGTAAACTTTGTTCTGCTTTGTTTCTGATCCCTATAAAAGATAAACTTAGTTTCAGAAATTAGTGCATTTCAATTCACATGTTACAGTCTTAAAGCTAATATACAAAAGGAAGCTAGCATTGTAAAATGAACTTTAAATGTCAGACGTGGCTAGTCATATCACCATGGCTAAGTAAATAGTTGAGATTATATTCAGTGACTAAATAAATTTTTGGTTTTTTTGAAATTGGACTATGAAATACAATAGACCATTTATTTTTTACTCTTCTATAACCTTTCACTTTAATCTCTTTTTCAGATAAACATTCTTTAGTTTAACTCCAACGTGATCTCTTTAATGTTGACAGACAAAAAAAGCCTATAAACCTATTTTAATTTTAAATAAATAAAGCTACTTAAATCATTTTAGTTTTAAATAGTTATTAATTTATATAAGCACTGGATACGGTCAGAAGAGGGAGAGGGGGAGAGAATTCACCAGAGCCAGAGAGGAGAGCAGAACAGGCAGACTGATGAAGTACACTGCTGAGGGGAGCAGCGGGCTGCAGGAGAGGTCTGCGCCCCATGTGGGACCCTCGCTCCGCAGCTGGGGATTGAACCGCCGCTGCAGAGGCTGCGGGCATACTGCTGCGCCACTGGGGAGGCTCTCAAGGACATCTTTCTAGGGAAAATATGAAAATGCTTTACACACTAACGTATTGTTTAAGTCACCTGTGTTTCTTAACTGTATCCCCTCTCTTTTTAAATGTGACCTTGATTAGTTGAAGAGAGTGGATCACTTTTCCTGTAGGTTGTATCACACTCTCTCACTTTATTCAACTTCTATAACAATAAGAATGCAACAAGCCTGGGTGACTTAAACAACACACATTTATTTCTCATACTTATGGAGACATCAGAGTTGCTGGCAGGTTCAGTGGACCAGCAATCCTGGTTCTTAGATGTCAGTCTTACTGTGTTCTCACAAGGTAAATAGGGCTAGGGAGCTCTTTGGTCGCTTTTTACATTAAATTTCTAAGCCTGTTCATGAGGACTCAACCTTCATGACCTAATCACCATCCAAAAGCTCCCCACTTCCAATACCATCACATTGGGGGTAAACATTTTTGTAGGCACACACATTCAATCCATAACACATTTCAGATTTAACTGACAGTTTTCTTGGGGCATCATTTAAATTTTTCCTCTTTTTTCCTATAAAATGGTAGGTGTGAAGTCTACAGGTTTGATTTTCAGGTTCAAATTTTAGGAAAAAAATGTTTTGGTGGTGTCCTATGACATCATAACATGGGGCACATAATGGTTACAATTTGAGCACTATAATGTTTCTTATCAACTTTTAAGTTATAGTTGAATATCTATATGATTATTGCCCAAATGGACTATCTTTAAGGATTATGTAATGGTGATTTATCTAAGGGTTATTCCTTCTGTATTTATTAGCTGGAATACTTAGGGGGAATTTTCCCACCACTGCTGTTTTTGGTTATCCTGAAATACAGTTCATATAGGAAAGGTTGGATAAATTTTAATTGTTTCCCTCTATTCATTTTAGAGTAATGTTGCCTAGTAACTTCCAGTAGTAACCATTGAGGTTTTTTTTGAGTATCATACATTCATAGATTTTTGTGTATTTGAAATATTTGTAATTACTATACTCTTTGATATTTAAATTCCTATCCAACCAGTGGGAGCTTCTTAAATTGACTTAACTGTCCTTTCACTGTGACCCCATAAGTCTTTTAATATCTACTTAACTTTCTGACAGATGAGCCAGTCTCACTTTTGACATTTCCTTGCCCATCCATGGGTGCAGATCACTATCTGGATTTTAAGGTTGCCCGTTCTTCCTGAGTTGTCATTTTTTCCTAGGGCTTTTCAATGCACATACCTAGGAAATTTTTTGTTTTTTTAAGGAACTGGGATTACAGTTTTTTTGTATAACTTGCTAATAACATCAAATTGTATGGAATTTTCTATAAATGCCATTCTATTTTGTTGTTTTATCTCTATGCTATTCATTCTGCTGGGCTCACTCTTATTTGATCCTTTGGACAGTTTAAGTATAGCTTCGCTAGGGAAACTTAATAACTTCAAAATGATCTGTCTCACTTTGCTATTCCCAATGTACAAGATATACCCATCATGGACTTAGCACATTATGTTGTATACACTTCACAGACACTTATATTGCCTTTCTTACTTTTCTTAGTGGCTAGCACAAGTTTAAGATTTCAATAAATGTTGAATAAAACTTTTTTTCTAAGTTGTTGCTGCTGTGTTGGAATTATCATCTTTCATATGCAAGGCAAATGCAGTATTCAGAAAGGAATCTAAAATATTTTTATAATCCCTTTTGATCTTTTTCTTCCAAATGAACTTGTAAAGAGTTAAAAGTTATGTAATGGCCTTATTTATTGAAGATAAGTAATAAAGTTAAACTGATCTCCTAGTTTATGTACTTTTTCCCTTTACAGTATGTTTTTACTCAGTACAACAAACCATTCTTCAGCACTTTCGCAAAAACATCCATGTTTGTTCTGTACCTCTTGGGCTTTATTATTTGGAAGCCATGGAGGCAACAGTGTACAAGAGGATTTCGAGGAAAACATGCTGCTTTTGTAAGTGTCGTTGGAGAGGTATATTTTTCTTTAAAGATTTATTTATTTATGCATGCAAGAGCTGGGGTACAGGCCAGAGTTGCGGGGGATGAAGGGCGAGAGGGTTCACTAGAGACAGAGTGGGGCTCAGAATGGCTGGATTGACTGAAATACACTGCTGAGAGGAGCAGTGGGCGTACTGGAGAGGTCTGCTGCTCCCTGTGGATCAGACTCCCTGCAGTGGCTGTGGATAGCTTCATAATGCTGAGACTTAACCCCTTGTGTCATCAGGGAGGCCCAGAGAGGTATATTTTTCCAATGTTTAAAGATGTATTAGTTTCTTGAAGGATGGTCAGATTTTAAGTTGTTCAATTAGTGAGTAAAGCATGATAAAAAGATACACCTATTTTTGTCCAGTATTTTAAGTTCGCTCTATTATTAATCAAGTTGGTATAAGGCATAAGTTGTGAAAAAGATACGTAATCACTTCCTCTCCCTTGCCTCATGACATCCATCTGAGTTGTTAAAAATTACTGAACTAGCTTAAATTGATTCATGTAAAGAAGATGAAAAGGAAATAGAAGCTATCTGGAGTCTGGCCATTTGTAGATGAAATGAGTCATCTAATTCATTGTAAAGCTGATTGTAAAAGCCAAATAATTCAAGATTTTATATATTGAAATGAAAATAGCATACTCCAGGGCATAGTTCAGATATTTGGTTAATCAAATTATATTTTATCTCACTGATACAACAAATATGCTGATTCATAGTATTGAAATAAATGGCAGCTTACATAGTGATGTATCATCCTTGTACAAGTAGAAATTGAATTTTTGAGAATAAGGAATATAAAACTGTCTATTAATCCTTTTTTCATTCTCCCATAAAATTATGGTAAAATATACATAACTTCGAATTTGCCATTTTAATCATTTTTATGTTTGTAGTTCATTAGCATTAAGTAAATAAACTTTATTATGCAACCATCTTCACCATCCATCTCAGAACTTTTTCATCATCCCAAATAGGAATTCTGTATCCATTAAATAATACTTCTCATGCTTCTCTCCCAGACTCTGATAACTACTGTTTTATTTTTTTTTTAAAGATTTATTTATTTATTTATTATTTATTTATACAAGCACTGGGCACAGTCAGAAGCGTGGGAGGGTGAGAGAATTCACCAGAGTCAGAGCAGGGAGCAGAGCGGGCAGTAGGGCCGAAGTACACTGCTGAGGGGAGCAGCGGGCGGCAGGAGAGGTCTGCGCCCATGCGGGACCCTCCTCTAGTGGCCAGGGAGCAGCCGGGGATCGAACCTGCACTGCAGAGGCTGCGGGCAGCTTCACAACCCAGCGCTCAACCGCTGCGCCACCGGGGAGGCCCTACTGTTGTATTTTTTTGTCTCTATTAATCCTTTTCGTGTGTGTGTTATTTCTTGTGCGTTAAAAGAGTATCTTATCTTACCTAATAAGTACATTCTTAAGAAATGTACTCATTGGCTATTTGTCAGGGGCTTTTCTGTAATTGTTTTTGAGGTAAAGCCTAGAAATGTATACTTATAAATACAACAATTAAACTTACCAAAAGCATGAATGTTTATTTTTCAAAAATAAGATATATAATAATAGAAATGCATATATGCTATAGTATTACATCTAAGAATATGTTACATATTTTTAAATACATTGTCAAATACTAAGAACAAAATACCAAGAACAATAAGAAGAAAACAATATATTCTACCATTCAAAGAATAACCACTGGTAGTATTTTGGCATATATCCTGTCATTCTTTATTATGTGTGTTTGAATTTTAATTTTTACAAAAATGAAATTGTCCTGTTATGCTCTATTTTATAAATTGCTTGCTGTACTTACAACGAGCAACTTTCTGTCTACTTTAGTATTACTAGAGCTATTTTTAAATTTTGAAGATGATTTAAATTTAGTTTTTTAAAATTGTGTCTTTTTTATTGCACTAACATTGGTTTACCACACTGTATATAATTTAGGGTATAGATTCACACCTCTTCATGTATGTTGCCATGCTACACCCATCACCAAAGCACCAATAGGAAAGCGATTTCTTAAAATGAAACTTACTCCTAATGAAGATGCTATGAACGTTGCTGAGAATTTAGAGTATTCCATAAGCTTAGTTGATAAAACTGCAGTGGGCTTTGAAAGAATTGACTCCAATTTTGAAAAAAAGTAGAACATTTTTTAATGCTACGTATTTTTTAATTATAGTAGTGATGTTCATTGTTGAAGACAACTTATGGTTAACAAGTAGAATAAGAATAACCACAATCTCTCCATATTAAGACCACTATAAATATTTGATACTGTCTATAGCTATATATTTATGTGTACATATTAAAAAATTATAGCAGAAATAAGTTTTTTTCATTTTCTAACCCAATTATTTTTTAATTTAACTATATATCCTGAATACTGCTATGGGCTAACATAAACATTTGCTCTCTTTCCCTGTGTAATTCATCTAACTCTTGATAGATTTTTTTTCTTCTACACAAGTAGCAAAAATTTTTATACGTATTTGTAATATATGTAGGATAAAGCATAAGTGTTGGAAAGACAATAATGCCATTTTTCTTTTTTTAAAGATTTATTTTCTATTTATACAAGAGCCATGGCACAGGCCAGATGCGTGGGAGGGTAAGAGAATTCACCAGAGACAGAGCAGGGAACAAAACAGGCAGACTGACTGGAAATACACTGCTGAGGGGAGCAGCAGGCAAGACTGGAGAGGTCTGCTTGTCATGTGGGGTGCTCTGAGGCTGGCGGGGATCAAACCGGCACTGCAGAGGCTGCGGATAGGCTTCACTGTGCTGTGCTTAACCGCCTGCGCCACCACGGAGGCCCAATGCCATTTTTAAAACTTGTTTCTTGTTGCTAAATCATTTTATATCTCTGTTAGCAGTATATGAAATTAAACCCTTAACTAAATCTCTTAACATTTGCCAATATGATAGGCGAACAATAATTTACATCTTTTGGGTTACTTTTTTCACAGTAGAATTCTTTTGTGAGTTGTCTATATCTTGTCCTTTTTTTCCAATTGACTTTTTCGTGCTGATTTATACGTGTTCTTAAGAGCATGGGTTCTGGTTTTTTTGAATCTTGTTTGTCGCTTGCCAATTATGTGACCTCAGCAAATTTTTAAGACTTTAAGCAGGAATAATAATAATAATAGGTTAGTTGTGGGTATAAATAAAAACATGTTATACAGCACTAGCGGAGAGTCTCAAAGTGTAATGCATTCCCTGAGATTCATTTAGGGAGTTCCTAAGATTAATGCTGTTAATGATGATGATACTATGATGTTATTTGTCTTTTTCACTAATTGATCCATCCTTTTCTTACTCAGTCTGAAATGTTGTAGTACAATAGTATTGTGAAAGTGGACTTTAGGGCCTCCCCGGTGGCGCAGCGGTTGAGCGCTGGGTTGCGAAGCTGCCCGTCGGCCTCTGCGGCGCCGGTTCGATCCCCGGCTGCTCCCCGGCTGCTCCCCGGCTGCTCCCCGGCCACCGGAGGAGAATCCCACATGGCGCGCAGACCTCTCCTGCCGCCCGCTGCTCCCCCCAGCAGTGTACCTCTGTCCTTCTGCCTGCTCTGCTCCCTGCTCTGGCTATGGTGAATTCTCTCACCCTCCCGCGCTTCTGACTGTACCCAGTGCATGTATAAACAAAACAAACAAATAAATAAATAAAAAAAAAAAAAAAAAAAAAAAAAAAAAGTGGACTTTAATCCTGGGTCCTTTACTTAGATGATCTCTCTCAGCCTCAATTTCTTCATCATTAAAATGGAGATGATAATACCTACCTTGCATGGTTGCATACTTGGTATTAGCTGCTATTAGTAATAGTTATAATCTTATAGTTCTACTCTGGATTGTTGGTTTTATTCTTTTGTGCTGTGGCTAACAGTCTTACTTTGTAGGATCAGTTTAATTGAATTTTATGTCCTGTTATCTGTAGTTCACAGATGCTGAAGGTTACTTTGCTGCTTGCACAACAGATACAACTATGAATAGTTCCTTGGTAAGTGGAGAGAGTGGAGTTGAGCCATGGTGGGAAGGAATAGCTTTGATAGCACCACAGCTACGTTAGATTATAGATATATCTCATTATTGGGTGTCCAACATTGAGGATTGTAATTTGGTACTGTCTTCCCTTAGATGCCTTAGGCCAGGAAGTAGAAGTTCAGCCTCCTCTGGGAGTGAGGGGAAGAGGAATTAGTCAAGGAGTGAAAACAGTAAAGGAGTTTTTGTCCATTGTTTCTTGCCAATTCTGTCACTTAATGTTCATTATTATATTATTATTACTTAGAAAAAAATATTTTTTACTTGATACAAAATATATGAGGAAGCTGTTTATTCAATTACCCCAGAAATTTTAGGGAGCATACACAGCTTATATTTGAGGATATAAGAATTTCTGTTTGGGGAGGAGAGGACACAGATAATAAGCAAACAATAAACCAGTATGTAAAAAAGAGTTCCTTCTTAAATTCACTGTAAAATTTATTACCAGTTTATGAAGCAATAGCGTGGTGAGCTTTTGATAGTACAGATTTTTGATTGTCTGGCTTTTAGACCTACATTTACATGGAGGATTGGTTATTTTATGTGAAGAGTTTATGAAATGTAGAGAAAAATGTCATTTCTTTTCTCTGGGATTAATATCAGCTGTCTCTAACAATGTAGAAAGCAGATTGGAGATGGCAGCCTACTTTTCTAAGTACTCTTCTACTAATTTTTGCTATTATTTGTAAGATGGATATGTCAAATTGTTCTAAGCCAAATCCTATAATGAAAAATACAGTGTAACAAAGAGAATGTATATAGTTCCAGGTTCTAGTGTCTTTTTTACTGAATATTTTTCATTGGCAGAGTACTATACCAGGAGTTAAAAACAGAACTAAAGAAATAAAAAAACATTTTCTGTTAATGTAAGAAGCAGACTTGTTGGCGAATCATGTTTTAAATATAGATCTTCTCAAGAACATTTTGTAAAAACAGTTGAGAAATTTAGATCCACTTAACCTTTAGAATATGGTTAGACAAACTTGGCTATAATTCTGCTCTCTACCATAACTTAATTACTTTATATCTCAGCTTCTAGAAAAGTTCCTTTAAAATAACATTTTATAAGTTGTTCCAAGGACTAATGAGAAATGTGTGTTTAATTGCTCTGGCCTTGGTACCTCATATATAGTAGGAATTCATAAATGATAGCTATTTTCCTCTTATCAATCATATAAAAGTTTTCAAGAATTTTTGGTTTTTGTTGAATCTTGAATTATAAGAGTAAACACTTTGGCAAGTACACACACACAATACTCTCTCACACACACAATATGATTTACTCATTGCCTTTTCCATTAGATTACATGATCATTGAGGACAAGTTTGTTTTTATTCAGTCTTATATTGTTCTGACCTCCAACAGCTTTAGACATAATAGGAGCTCAGTATGTATTTGTTAAAAGAATGAATGAAAAAGAATGTGAAATAATCTGCTGCTGAGAGAAAGATCTGTTTTTAATGGCATTAAATTTTAAATATGTATCAGCACTGTTCTGTTACATTTTAAGCTTTCAACTATTATGTTTTTTTTTTTCTTTCATTGTCCCCTTGTAGATCATTTGAGTTTACTTTTTAAGTCTCAAAAATGTATTTTGGGAAGACAATACTATGTAAATATAGTAACAAATAGCCATGTTCTGGGTAGTATATATATCTTTTACCATTCACTTAAATTTTAGTCAATGTGTCAGTTATTACATTTGCTGTTTATATTTGTTCTTGTGTCTGTTACATTCCAGAGTGAACCTCTATATGTTCCTGTGAAATTTCATGATCTTCCAAGTGAAAAACTTTCTGAGAATGCAAACATTGATAATGAAAAAAGTAAGAAAAATTTATAATTTTGTAACTTAGAAATGGGTAGAAACATTAGTGTTGTTAACTCTATGGGTTGACTGGGATCATCTGGCAGTTCTTTTATCAAATGTGTAAGCTTCATCTGTAATCTGTTAAGTTTGATTGTAAGTTTTTAATTAACTTAGTTGAAAATGATTTCCAAATACCAGAAAGAAATCTCTGTGGTTTCATTATGTATGTATGTATTTTAGGTAAACAATATCCTGCTCATCTATGCCCTCAAAGATGTTATAGCAAATTACAGGAGTTTTTCTGGTTCTTTGTATTTAGTAAAGAACACTTAGCTTCAATATAAGACACTGTACCTTCCCATAATATGTCTTAGAAAGAATGGACCTGTAGAGGAATGATCTGCTTTCTTGACTAGGAAAATAATTGTTATAAATTGGGTGTCTGTGAGGAAAAATCCAAGTACAGTTTTATGATAGATGCTAAAATTATAATCCTGAACCAGGAAGTTCTTATGTGTACACAATTGCGGAAACATTGTTTGAACATTGGTCTCATTTTAAAACCTTTAAAGCAGTTTTCATAGATGAAAATGTTTTTCCTGTTAACTCTTTTGAGTGAACAAATCTGCCTCCAGAGAATAATACAACTCTGGTTTTCTGACTGATTATAGATGGGACTAAATAATATTTATTCATCAGCAAATTAAACTCGTGACTTCTGCTGGGTTCTACAGGAAATGCTTAATGATTTTTACTGTACTTTTCCTTTTAAGCTCCCAAAAAATCTCGTGTAAGGTTCAGTAATATCATGGAGATTCGGCAGCTGCCATCGAGCCATGCATTGGAAGCTAAGTTGTCTCGCATGTCATATCCTACTGTGAAAGAACAAGAATCTTTACTCAAAACTGTGGGGAAACTTACTGCAACTCAAGTAGCAAAAATTAGTTTTTTTTTTTGCTTTGTGGTAGGTTTTCTTGTTTTATATGTATGGGATTTGAATTTTAAGGTAGAATACATAATAACAATGTACTTTTACAGTATAACATTATTTAGGTTGCTTCATCATGATTTTAAACTGCTACTTTGCATCATTGGGAGTTAGAGTATCAAAGTTAATAAATGTTTGTTATATATCAAATAATTCAGTAAATACTGTACTACTATAATGCCTCATAATGCCTCATATATTGACAAAATACTGAAAATAGTTATTTTACACTGTGACGCATATAAAGGCTAGTAAATACCCAGTTAAGAGTTTAATGTACACATTGATTTCTTCAAGTGTTTCTGCAGTTTTGTATTAAATGCATGTAAATGTAGTCAAATATTTTAGCATGTATTCATAGTAAACATTTCCATAGTATTTATTGTGGTGTTGTTGATAGCTTCTCTGTTATAATATATAAACTGAAAAAAGTGCTTAATATTTCACACAAATCAGAGACTTGCCTGTGTTAGTGAAACTATGAAGTTTAATATTTAAAACATGAATTTCAGTCCTTTTATATTTTTATCACTATAAGTAGACAAATTCAGGGTTGTTTAGTATGGGCTTTAGATTCACATTTATAGTGGGCATTTTTTTTATCATTAAATATAATGTTAATGTCAATATTACTTGGCCTGATTATGTCAGTTTTTCCCCATACATTTTGCAAAGTCCATTTTTTCCACCTGTGCCTGAATAACCTGTAGTTTAGTGATGCCTTGATTAATATGTCCTACCACACAAATCAGAAAATCTTTGGAAGTTGTAATATAATTTTATATATATATATATATATATATATATAATGAAGTTAATTTAAAGGTTCATATATTTTGATTATGCTATTGGCTGTGATTTTTTTTTTAAAGATTTATTTATTTATTTATACAAGCACTGGGCACAGTCAGAAGTGCGGGAGGGTGAGAGAATTCACCAGAGCCAGAGCGGGGAGCAGAGCAGCCAGATGGACCGAAGTACATTGTTGAGGGGAGCAGCAGGCGGCAGGAGAGGTCTGCTTGCCATGTGGGACCCTCCTCCAGTGGCCGGGGAGCAGCCGGGGATTGAACTGGTGCTGCAGAGGCTGCGGGCAGCTTTGCAACCCAGCGCTCAACCGCTGCACCACTGGGGAGGCCCTGGCTGTGATTTCTGTTTGCTTATTTTAAATAAGTATAAGGCAAGACTAAGATTTATTAATTATATGTTACCTAATTTTCAAAGGACACTTAAGGTGAGGCATAACAAAATCATCTATGCATAAAAGTTTTCTGAAAGTGAAAAGATAAAACCCAGATTAAATGAGCAATATTGGGATGCGAGTGGATGGGTGGGTGGGGAAGCCTGACCGTGGAATGGGATTATATCAGGAACTTTTATTTAAGAAACTATGTCAGTACACAATTCATCTCTAGGAAAATTGGCAGGAAGGCAAAAAGGAAAACTTCCTGATATGCATCTGATTGTTTATTAAAATGAAGTATCTTTTGTCATTAAATAACACAAACCTTTTCCTAACTCAAATCTTCAAGAGAAGTGTATTGCAAAGATTTTTATATAATAAAACTCTTTCTGTAAGCAGATTTACAGTTAAGATATGTACAGCCTATTTAAAAATTTGTGAAATATGCATCCCATAAAATTTGCCTTTTTTATAGTTTGTATGTATATAAAGTTTGTGTAATGTATTCTCATTGTCATCACCCATCACCACTATTCATCAATGAAACTTATGTCATCTTGCAAAACTCAAACTGTACCCATTAAGTGAGCATTCCCCTTTTGGATTTCCCCCAGCCCCTGATAGCCACCATTCTATTTTCTGTCTCTGAATTTTTGACTAATCCTAAGTACCCCATATGAATGGAATCATACTGTACTTTTCTTTTTATGACTGGCATATTTCACTTAGCACAATGTCTTTAAGATTCATTCTTACACCTGATAGAAATTTCTTAACTTTTTCAGCTTGAATATTTCCATTGTATGAATATACCACATTTTGTTTATTTATCCATTCCTCTATTGATGTACACTTGAGTTGCTTCCACCTTTAGTAGCTTTAAAAAAAAAAATGATCTCAAATTACAAAAGGAAAAATCTATGTTAGTCTTTGGTAGTGACTTTTCTATGGACTATCAGAGTAATAATAGTGCAGGTAGACAGCTTTTCTTGAAATCTGAGTACAGTGATAAGCTTAGGGCAGTGTTGTTCAATTGGATTAGAAGGTAAGCCTAAATTAAAAAATCATGTACATATTTTAAAAATTTCTAGTAGCCACATTAAACAAAAAAACAAAAGAAGCAAGTGAAGTTAATTTTAAACCTTTTTTAACCTACTGTGTCCATAAAATATTTCAACTTGCTATCAATATAAAAATTATTTGTGAAGTTATTTTTGTACTAAAATTTATGACTTTTAATTTCTTTCTAGAAATAATTTAAATCCTTTTTCAGTTTCTATTTCATTTCAGCTTCAGATTTTTTAAAATTCAGTTCTAGTTTTTATGTCAGTTTCAATTTCTAAACATTTCCATTCATACTAGACACATTTCAGTTGCCCAGTTGTCATGTGTGGCAATTGGCTAATATATTGGATAGTGCAAATTAAAAGGAGTAAATAATCACTGTATTTGTTAGTCTTCCTTGAATATCTTTTCTCTTGGAAGGGTTTAGATGTTTTAATTTTTCATGTAGGATATAATTTAGATCATATAGACCTTACCTAGAATACCTTTTATGATCATTTTAAAGTTGAATTACCACTCATGAAAGAATGAAATATAAATTATTTGTGATAGATTAATTATTAGTAAGTGGTTGTCTCAACCCTGTAATAATGGGAAATGTTGTAAAGATAATTTTTATTGGCGGGTAATTGAGATAGATCTTTTGTGGTAAAAGTGCCGTGGGTTTGAGAGTCAGGGTATAGTGTTTTGGGAGTAGTGGACAATGAGAAAGTCTTTCTGTAAGAGTGATGAATTTTTATTATCTTTGAATGTCTGTCATCTAAGTGGTCTGCTTTTATTTCTTTATGTTGATTAGCAGAGAACAGTGAGTTTGTTTAGAAAATGAGCCCAGTATTTAAATATTAAAGTGGTAAGAGAAATGAGACAAGAAACCTAATTATCACTCTTTACTATTATCCATTATAGCAGAAAATCACGAAAAGATAATTAAGGACTGAATCTTTGTTCTCTTCTAACATTCCAACTATAAGCAGATTGTGGTTTCTGTTGATGTATACATTTGATGTCACCCTTCTCACAAGTTGCTATCATGTTTTGTAGTTTTGATAGTTGAATGAAATTATCTAGGAAGCCAGGTGACTACAGATGGAATCTGAATCACTTTGCTGAGCTGTCACCTAGTAGTGCTCTAAGACTATGTGTTTATTGCTTTGAAATGTAAATGATAATAATTACTTAACTCTTAAGATCAGACAGAGATCAAGAGATGTCTTAATATAGACAAGTCACTTCAGTAGAATATGATTATCTAGTCATCTTTTTAAATAACAGTTGCCAAAAACAATTAGACATTCAGTTAATTTACTTTGATTGACTGAACATTCTGCTTATTAGTATATACATTAGTAAGACCATGCACAGAAGCACCAGGAGGCTTACTCTAGAATGTTCATGGTAACGTTATTTGAAATAGTAAAGTACATCAGTTGAAAAAGGATGAATTGTGGTAATATGTATTATAATATCTGATAGCAGTGAAATTAAATTAACTTTGTCAGTGGAGGTCTTACTTCATATTCTCTGTATCAGGTAGGCTCAGGGTTGGGAATAAAAGAATATGTTAGCTTAGATGAGTACAAGGAAAGAATGAAAAATGCCTCATATCCAGAAAACTCCCTTTATTATATCCAAAGTTATGAGAACTCTTTGTATATTATCTCCAAACTGAGAATCAAGGAAACAACCAATTAGCCAGTAAATTCACAATTTCCTTGGACATTTTTAAATATACAAAGTGAATGTAGCCTTTTATTTATCAGTCTGACTAGCTAACTTATTCTAATTCATCCCCACAAGCTTTATCTTATTTAATAGATTTCTCATCATGACATATTATTCACTTGTACATATTTTAATGTTTGAGAATTCCCTTTAAATTTGACTTGGATAAAATCATTAGAGTGGTAGGTTGGATAAAGCCAATTTTAAAGCTTAATTTTGTGTTTTACCCACATTTAAAAAAAAAATGCCTGAATGCCAAAATTCAACCAAATGTTGTTAATTTATTTTCTTTTTAAGCATTGTTTTTAATTTATGCATACAAGAACTGGAGTGCAGGGCAGAGGTACAGGGGGTAAGAGGATTCCATAGACAGAGTAGGGAGTAGAACAGGAAGATCTACAGAAGTACACTGCTGAGGGGAGCAGCAGGGCGAGACTGGAGAGGTCTGCTGCACCATGTGTGTTAGCTTCGTGAGTGGAAATAGAACTCAGGCTGTCGCAGTGGTAGCACTGAGCCTTAACCCCTAGACCACTAGGAAGGCCCTGTGTATTTTCAAAACAGGGCAGCTTTTAAAGCCTCTCGTGATAATAGTTTTTAGGGGAGAAAATAAGGGGCAAACTATAAATTGTAACAGCAAGTTATGAACTTATCTTTCATTAGATGTCATTTTGGTTTTTTTTTTAGTGGTTTTTGGCAAATTTGTCATATCAGGAAGCACTTTCAGACACACAAGTTGCTATAGTTAATATTTTGTCTTCAACTTCTGGTAAGAAATTTGTCTTCACAGTCTTCATTTTAAATTGAGTGTAATTCTGATGTGTATGTGTATGTATATGTACATGCATATATTTTTACAATTAAAAATTATTGTATTCATTCTAATGTACGCTATTGTATTGAAACTACTTAATTGTTGTAGTTTTATGCCATAACCTTGTGCTATTTATATTCCTTCATATACATTACAGTATTTTTTATACAACAATATATTAAAGATTTATAGGCTGGCTCTTTCTGTTACAGTTGTCCTTCCTTTCACATTTTCTTTGTAAAGATCTTTTTCTAGATCCTTTGACCAAATGTAATTGCTATTTCAGCACTATAATTTGCCCTGTGAAAGGTGTTTTATTTTTAAAATTGAATTGCCTTCTAAATTTGGAAGATAAAAGTATTTTGAAGTTAAAAAAAATGGCATATATGCTTGGTTATGATGAGGTCAGATTGTTACTCAGTATTCTCAATTTAGCTCACTAATTAGTTTAAAATGAATAGAACTGTTTTTGAACTGTATCGTTGAAATAAACATGATTTAGTTTAGAGGCTGCTTTTATGTATGATTTTTAAACATTTCAGCCTAGATAATTGCAGTATTATTCTTAACTTTGAAAAATTAGTTTAAAAGTTAGGTGTATAAATTTATTTAAACAATCAAGTTGATAATAAATTACTTAACAGTGCGAGCTCATGTGTTTGTTTTTTTTTCATCTTTTCTCCTCATAGGACTTTTTACCTTAATCCTTGCTGCAGTGTTTCCAAGTAACAGTGGAGATAGATTTACTCTTTCTAAACTGTTAGCTGTAATTTTGAGGTAAGAATGTAACTTAATAGCTAATTTACTGCGCTTGAAATTATGATGTTTGAAATAATCACTTTTTATAGATATTAAAAACAAGACTGTGAAGTAAAGAAACCATCACCATTTTCTTATTGAGGAAATCCTCTCAAAAAGTCTAAGGCTTTGTCTAGGGGCAAAGAACAGAAATCTGTTTCAAAGGGCGTTCTGAGAGCTAAGAAATACCACTTTCTCCATTAAATTATTCTAACTTCTCTGACTTAATTTCTTCTCTCAAAAACAAGTTTTATCAAACCAGTGTATCTTTTGAGTACTACTAGTAAGAAAATCCCTGTGGTAGGCCTTTACTGACACAAAGAAGTACAAAATAAGGTTTTAGCCTTTAAGGGTTTACAGTCCATTAGGGCAGACAGGAATTACATAAAGTCAAATGAAAATAAAAGATCTGGATATAGTTACCAGTAATAGTGATTTTATAATACAATATTGCCTAGTGAATTATACAGAAAATAATGAAAGGTTACTTGAGGGTGAGTCAATCAGAGAAGACTGTATTTTTTCTGGAAGTAGGACATGTAGAAACTAAAACATTTTGTCTCACTAAAACAGAGGGAAACTTGTTTTAGGAAAAGGAAATTGAAACTGGGGAAGTTTTGAGACTTAAGTTGCCACATTAGGTTAAATGTGAATGTATGTTTGCTTAGCAAGTTAAAGTGAAAGGAATGGGAACGAAAGCTGCCTTGAGGCCTCTCCCTCTAGTTACCTTTTCAGGAAGGCTTGGAAAACTAGTTAAGCAGGTGATGGAGGGCTGAGTAGGATAGTGTCCATTTAAAACCTTTCATTTATCCTCACCTTTCTTGATGATACAGTATGCTATAATATAAACTATCCTATTTCACTACCAGAAACTTTTCTTAGAGACTGTTACTTGGTAATCATGTAAGTCGTAATTCTTATTTTGTGTCTTTCTCTGTTAGGTATAAGGGTCAATTCATGGTAGTTTCCATGGGTAGTCTGGTTAATATAACTGATTTAACATTTAGACTTTATGGCCACTTTTTCTTTTGCATGATTGGCTAATTTTTTATCCAATATAGTTTTACCCTAAGGAAATGCAATATATATATATATATATTATTTATTGGGAGATATATATTTTATTGGGAAGAAAGGTTTTATATTTTATTAAAAATTCTTTTTCTTTGTATTATCTTAATAAAGAAAGATTTACTAAAGAAGGAAATGGATATAAAATGTTAAAATTAAAAGTATTTTGACAGGGTCTCCATTACTCTTTACTAAAGTAGCTAGAACAGGGGTCAAAAAAGTATTATTTTGGGCCTCCCCGGTGGCACAGCGGTTGAGCGTTGGGTTGCGAAGCTGCCTGCAGCCTCTGCAGCGCCGGTTCGATCCCCGGCTGCTCCCCGGCCACCGGAGGGGGGTCCCACATGGCGCACAGACCTCTCCTGCTACCCGCTGCTCCCCTCAGCAGTGTACTTCGGTCCTTCTGCCTGCTCTGCTCCCTGCTCTGGCTCTGGTGAATTCTCTCACCCTCCTGCGCTTCTGACTGTACCCAGTGCATGTAAAAACAAACAAACAAATAAATAATAAAAATAAATAAATAAAAATACATGCCTCTAAAAAAAAAAAAAAATATTATTTTTGGGTCTCCCTGTCTCCCCGGTGGTGCAGGGGTTAAGTCTCAGTGTTATCAAGCTATCATAAGCCACTGCAGCATGAGTTTGATCCTGGCCAGGGAGCTGACCCACATAGTGCAGAAGACCTCTCCTCTCTTGCCCACTGCTCCCCTCAGCAGTATATTTCAGTAGATCCACCTGTTCTGCTCCCCACTGTTTCTGGTGAATCCTCTTACCCCCTGCACCTCTGGCATAGACCCCAATTCTTGTATGCATAAATAAATAAATAAAATAAACCTTTAAAAAAAAGATTGTTTTTGTAAATAAGCTTTCATTGGAACACAGCCATTCTTGTTTGCATACCATCAGTGATTATAACAAAGACCATGTGACCTACACACTAAATATTATTTTTCCAAAAAATGTTTCCTTAACCCGTGTGCTAGAAATTTTATTTTTAAAGATTTATTTATTTATGTTTGAAGATTTATTTTTTTATGCATACAAGAACTGGGGTGTAGGCTAGCGGTATGGGAAGTGAGAGGGTTCACAAGACAGAATGGGGAGCAGGGTCAGGCAGCTCTACTGAAATACACTGCTGAGAGGAGCAGCAGGCGAGACAGGAGAGGTCTGCTATGCCATATGGGTTGGTTAGCTCCCTGGCCGGGGAGCTACCATGGCTGCTGTTAGCTTGATAGCATTGCGTCTTTAACCTCCCTGCCACCAGCGAGGCCCCTAGAAAATTTATTACTTGAGAACTTTTTTGTATATCTTTTATATATCGTTAAGGATACCTAAGAAGACATTTTATTATTTTTTTTTTTTAAAGATTTATTTATTTATTTATTTATTTATACAAGCACTGGATACAGTCAGAAGTGTGGGAGGGTGAGAGAATTCACAAGAGCCAGAGCGGGGGAGCAGAGCAGGCAGAAGGACCAAAGGACACTGCTGAGGGGAGCAGCGGGCGGCAGGAGAGGTCTGCGCGCCATGTGGGACCCTCCTCCGGTGGCCGGGGAGCAGCCAGGAATCGAACCGGCACCGCAGAGGCCGCGGGCAGCTTCGCAACCCAGCGCTCAACCGCTGTGCCACCGGGGAGGCCCAGAAGACATTTTATTTTTATTTTGAAATGACCTTGTATATACAATGAGATTTAGTTTCTGAGATTATAACAAGAATTTAGCATAGCAACAATTTTCAAAGAAGTCCTGTGTTAAGCTGAAACACCTCATTTTATCAATTGAGATTAAAAAAGAGGATGACCTTAGGCCAAACAACTTCGAATCCAGTCTTTCCTGCCTTATTAATAAATTAGATATCTTGGGCAAGTTTCTTGCCTCTCTAAGTCATAGTTTCTGTAAATTGGTACTACTAATAAGATTTGTCTCAAAGGATTTTTAATAATATTAAATGAGTTAAAACTTATAAAGTGTTTGGTGCACAAAATATTGAGTCTTTTTTTAAAAGATTTATTATTTATGCATAGAAGAACTGCGGTGTAGGCCAGGGGTGCGGGGGATGAGAGAATTCACCAGAGACAGAGTGGGGAGCAGAACAGGCAGATCTACTGAAATACACTGCTGAGGGGAGCAGCAGGTGAGGCAGGAGAGGTTTGCTGCACCGTGTGTATTAGCTCCCTGGCCAGGGATTGAATTCAGGCCATAGCAGTGATAATGCTGAGATTTAACTCCTAGACCACCAGGGAGGCCCAGTCATTATTATTATAATCTAAAGGGAATTTGAACATCTGGTTTCTAGTATGTTGTGGGTGCTCAACAGGTTATAGCTGAATTTGAACAAAGATTATTTAAGAGGAAATTATGATGATTTAATTGAAAGATGTAATTTAATGTAAGGACTACATTTGTGTGCTGTTTTTTTTAAGGATTTATTTATTTATGCATATAAGAGCTGGGGTACAGGCCAGAGATGCGGGGGGTGAGAAGAGGATTCACCAGAGACAAAGTGGGGAACCGAACAGGCAGATCAACAGAAGTACACTGCTGAGGGGGGAGCAGTGGACGAGTCAGAAGAGGTGTGCTGTGCCATGTGGGTTGCTCCCTGGCCAGCTGGGGGTTGCTGCAAAGGTTGTGGATTGCTTCATTGTGTGGTGCTTAACCCCTTGCGCTACCTGGGAGGCCCAGGACTACATTTGATTTACCATGACATAATTCCATAAGGGAAAAATTTTCTTTTTCATGTTCTACTAATGCCACTTGATTTTTGTGATCAGTAGGTAAAAGAATTAGACCTTTTTTTTTTAAATTAGCAGTATTTCATCTGCTTGAAAAATATATACTGTTTGTAAGCTGCATAGAAATAGAAAGACAAGCTTCATGAAGACAGGACTCACATCTATCTTGCATTATTTATTTATACTTTGAACTCCTTCCTATACTACCATAGGACCTAGATAGGGTGGACTTTACTTGTTTTTGCCTGTTATTATATTTATTTCTTGAAATACTATCTGACTGACATCTCTGTATCTGTCACATGTATAACACAGTACTTAATTCAGTAAATAACAATTGAATAAATGACCTGATTCCTTAATTCAATTTCATTTTTAACCTGTTAAAATAATAGGGTTAATTTAATTATTTAAATATTTAATTATTTAAATATTTAAGGATAATTTAATTATTTAAATATTTAAGGATAATTTTATCCTTAAAGTAAGTAAGTAAGAGATTGTAAGTAAGGGATTGTGCTATTGCCAGGGTTTAATATATGTGTCTCTCCAAAGGAAAAATTGTAAGAGGAATGAGATAGCATAGCAGGTACAAACATTAGACTCTGGAAGCAGATTCCCTATGTTTCATGTGATTTTGGTCAAGTGACTTATTTTTATTTCTTTGTTAGTAGTTTTCTAATGTGTAAAATGGTAATGGTAGTAACACTTCCATATCAGGTGATATTATGCTTTTTGTAAGGATTAAATGAGTTAATACAAATATAGCACTTATTACTGATATCTTTAGATATGATTAATTTACCCTCTACCTTTGATAGTTTTACCCATTTTGAGAATAATCTTTATCACTTGTAAATCATTATAACTTTCATCATTATGATTAGCTCTTTTAAGGAATTTGTTATTTTGCTCATCAGTAATCACTGTTATTCTCATAGTATTGGAGGCGTTGTGCTGGTAAACCTGTCAGGATCTGAGAAATCTGCTGGAAGAGATACAATAGGTAAGTATCTTACTCTACATTCTTTTTGTTAAAGTCCACAAGAATGTCCTTAGTGCATCATCATGTGTGTCTGTATTTGTGCACATGCACACAGAGGGTAGGCACTATTAGCCCCCCCACTTTTTTTTCCTTAAACTTTTCCTTAGAAATAAATGTCATAAAATTCAAAAGTAGTTCAGAGAATTCTCATGCAGTCTTCACCCAGATTCTCTGTTAACACTTCAATTAATACTTTTATATTTATGATTAGCTCTTTTAAGGAATTTGTTACTTTGCTCATCACTGTTATTCTAATGGTATTGGAGGCGCTGTGCTGGTAAACATGTCAGGTTTACCAATTTGTTTCTGTATGAAGTTATTAATTTTTCTCTTTGTAAGTAATAAGCATCATTTAGGGAGATATTTTGAGCCTGTACAAATACTCTGTTCTATCATTCTTCTACCCACTAATTCACCTTTGATGCTTACCTAAAACAGTTACTACTATGGTGAACACTTATTTTTTATCTATTTTGTTTAGATTTAACAAAATAAAGGTAATCAAAACCCAACTTTATGGATTTCCTGTAGATATCTTTTTAGATATTTGAAGTTTGTTGAATAGAACAATGCTTTCTAAACTATTCCTGGTTATTGCCCGGTGAGCTGTGCCTTGAACTACCTCACCTCTTTCTTGTGTGGAGCAACTTTGCATGTAAAACACTAAATGAGATTTGCAAAATGAAGACACTGGGGAAAAAAGTAATATATTTAATGATGTAAGTATTGTCTAAATTAGAAGACAAGAAGGATGGAAATTCAGTGGAGTAAAAAGAAGATGCTATTTTGGTAGAGGTGGACTTTAATAGGTGATGGTAGTGAAGAGAGTGGTGAACATATATTAGAAATGATGCATGCTGGGGTGAACAATATAAGCAACAGTCCTAGAGTGCATGTTTTTGCATTTATTTGTTTACACTTTAAACTCCTTGCTATACTCCTGGAGGTGGGGGTCTACTTTATATTTTTATATTTGTATGTTAATTTCTTGAAATAATACCTGAACCATTGTTAGATTTTGGATAATCATATGTTGAATGAATTAATGAATAAATAATTTAGATCATGTTGGTATTTACAGGTTCCATTTGGTCTCTTGTTGGAGCCATGCTGTATGCTGTCTATATTGTTATGATTAAGAGAAAAGTAGACAGAGAAGATAAATTGGATATTCCAATGTTCTTTGGTAAGATTATGTTTAATCTGTGAGGCTATTTACTCTGCATGATTTTGTGTTTTTGGAGGGAATAGAGAAGCTTTTTCCCTTCCATATGCTTCTCTAAAATCATTAAATTTTAAAGATTATGAAGTACAGTTGCAGTGTTTTCTCGTACCTTGTTCTACATAGTTGTGCATAAATGAGGGAACCCTTGTCCCCTCAATGTGAGGTAAATACAGAAATTCCTCTTATACCACCTTTTTTTGCGTCAGTGTCTTCAGCCTGTGAATCAGATGTTTTCTCATTGATAGACAGATTGTGTTGTTATAAGCATGTGAGTAGATACCTCATTTTGCCATTTTTGAATTGTTGAAAGCATTGGGGAAACTGCTCCCAAATATACTGCTGTCTGCTTATTTTCATAACATTATGGATCATTTAAAGATTTGACATTTTAAGACACAGACTCTTTCATGACATAGATTTTAATATTACCCTGTAGTTTCTGGCATCATTTTTTAATTTTGTTAAATTTTAATATTTCTAAACTTTTAAAAAAGCATACTAATATGATTTATAAATCTCCTTCACCTAAAATCAGCTTAGAAAAGAACATGTGCTATGTGTAGGATTGCAAAAGAAGAGCATATTGACAAAATAGTTTCCAAAAAATAACTAAATATCAATGATAATGATGCCTCATGATGAGATTTTAAAATATAACTTACAGGGAATCAGGAGACCTAAGTATAACTGTTACAACTTCATTTGTCTCATACTCATCTGAAAATGAGGCAATTGGATCTAGCTGAATAGCTTTCAAGCTGATTTACAAAGGATCCTGGGAAGGTTCGGAAAGGTGGAGTCACGTACATCTGTCCTTCACTTGAATTCCTTTCCTGCTTAGCTTAAAATCTTTGTTTTTTTGAACTTTTTGCTATAATTTATATTTAGGAAAGACTTTTCTGCTAAAAAGAGTTTGAATTTAAGCACATATAGAGTGACAGTTTGAAAAGCCACCAGATGAGATTACTCTACAGAATTAAGCAAATACACCTCAAATATGAAGATATTTTAATGATGTCTTATGTTTTAGAGACATAGAAAATTCCACCTGGAATGGAATGAAATGGTAATATGTTTTGAGCATTCTTTTTAAAGATTGGCAGCTTTCAAGACTAATTGCTTAATTTGCTCTTACTGGAGTGCACACAGAAGTAACTTGACTGGTCTTTATCATAAGTGATATGCTATGTAAAGCAATATTGATTTAACCTGGGGTTTGGAATAGACAGAATTGGAGAAGTTAGGATTGGATTATGGAAAATTCTTTAGAGGTGGGGCAGTGAGCAAAGCTTAGCTGGCACAGTGAGTGGATTTGTGTGGTTGGACTAGAGGGCTCACTTTAGGAAAGAACTGGAAGGTATTCGGACTAGATTCTGGAGCATCTGGAAAAGAGGTGAAGGGATTTGGATCTTTGTAGGTCTAAAGTTGTTAGTGTACATGGAATTTCATAGACTTCATCGTTGAGCAACCAGAAAATAGACTTGGTAATTTGGTTCTTGATAATGCCGAATTTTGGTGCTTTAATTAGAACAACTTTTTAGTGTTATGTAAGCCTTTCAGGTCATGATAGCATTTTGTATGTGTGCCATTTTATTTGTTTTGATTTAGCACCAGATATCTTAAGTTGGGTTTCCTGGGAAGTAGAATATGAGACAGGGCTTTGCTGTGGGTGATTTACTGATGTGGTGCTATATAGGAAAAACTAGCCAGGGAATGAGAGAAGCAGGGTAGAGAAGAAAAAGAACCGTAATATTTCAGGTAGAGTTGAAGTTTGGCACCATTCATGGCAAGTGTGGGGGCAAGGGGCAGAGGGAGAGAGTAGAGTTGTCCTGGCCTTAAGCTGTTAGGATTTGAGCCATGAAGGCCAGCCTTATGAATCCCCCATCAGTCAGTCAGTACTTTACTGCAGAGGGTGTGGCATGGGCAGAGGCAGGAACTTCTTAGTAAAGGTAGGCTTGTTTTTCTCCCAGACAGTTCTTTAGAGAAGCTGTCTCTCTTTTTTTTTTTTTTTAAAGATTTATTTTTATTTATACATGCAGTAACTGTGGTGTAGGCCAGAGGTGCAGGGGGTGAGAGGATTCACCAGAGACACAGTGGGGAGCAGAACAGGCAAATCTACTGAAATACACTGCTGAGGGAAGCAGCGGGCAAGACAGGAGAGGTCTATTGTTCCCTGGCTGGAATCGAACTCATGCCACAGTGGCTGGCAATATCTTGATTTCGCTGAGACTTTAACTCCTGCACCACCAGGGAGGCCTTAGAGAAGCTGTCTTTAGCAACAGATAGAGAATAGGTCCTCCATAGTGTTATTTCCATTTAGCTAGGAATCTTATTTTTTTAAAGACATTTATTTATACAAAACTGGGGTACAGTCAAAGGCATGGGAGGGTGAGAGAATTCACCAGACAGAGCAGGGAGCAGAACAGGCAAACAGACCGAAGACACTGCTGAGGGGAGCAGTGGGCGAGGCAGGAGAGGTCTGCCACGCCATGTGGGTTTCTCCCTGGCCAGCCGGGAATCAAACCTGCGCTGCAGAGGCTGCGGACAGCTTCACAGTGTGGCACTCAACCCGCTGTGCCACCGGGGAGGCCCTTGCTAGGAATCTTAAATACTAGTTTACTACTTAGCTTAAAAGTGAAATAGATATCTACTATAATTTAGCTTTCTTTTAAGAAAACTGTGGTTGCCTAGTGAATATATGCTGTTAAGCTATATAGAAAGCACAATAAAAAAATGCAATAAAATTTACTTTTTTTGGTTGTTACATTCATAAGTAGCCAAATATAAACTTAAATTTCAATAATAATAATAATAATTGGCCTTTATTAACTGTTTACTCCATGCCAGAAACTGTGCTATGTTTTATAAGTATTTTGTTTAATCTTCCCAGAAAACTAGTTAAATATATTTTACATTTCTATATTGGAAAACTGATGCTTAACAGAGGTTCTGCATTTTGCCTAAGGTGTACAATACTAGTGAATGGTGAGGCTGGGATGGGAACCCAGGGCAATAAGACTGCTGAGTATATACTTCTAACCCCTAAACATTATAGCCTTCCTTTATAAGTGGTCATTCTTGTCATTCTGTGTGTAGTTCATATATCAAATAGCTATTCATGTGTATATATTATATCACTAACTGACTTACGCACTCCGGGAAGAAGGGAACCAAGAATATTATCTTTTGTAACCTTCCTCCATTAACCCTAGCTCTGTGTGTGTGTGTGTGTGTATGTGTGTGTACACACAGAGCTTTATATATATAGGTGTTTCAAACATAAATATGATTTGAATCAGAAAGCAAACAGTCCAATTCCATAATTAATTTAAGCTGACTGTACGAACACACCAGTGATTTTTTTTTTAAGTTCTAGCATACTGTATTATTAGTAGCTAAGGTTATTAACTTTTTTTTTTTCCTTTTTTGCATTCTTTTAAGTAGTTTATTGCTTGTATTGTGAATAGTCGAACCTTGAAGACTACTGCTTACCCGTTGCTTGATACAGTTTTTTTCTGGTGTTTCACTATACATAGGACTGACTTAAAAACAAACAGAAGATTCCGTTAAGGGAACATTTTGGAACCCTTTGTGCTATATCGAATGCTTTCTAATTATACAGTTACAAGTTTGGAAAATTTGAGTAAATTACAGTTACTAACTTTTGTCTCTTTTATTTATATTTAGGTTTTGTAGGTCTGTTTAATCTGCTGCTCTTATGGCCAGGTTTCTTTTTACTTCATTATACTGGATTTGAGGACTTTGAGTTTCCTAATAAAGTAGTGCTAATGTGCATTATCATTAATGGCCTTATTGGAACAGTTCTCTCTGAGTTCCTGTGGTTGTGGTATGTACTGTTTATTACCCTATGATTTACTAGTTTTATCTATTCATGCACTTTTGGATAGTTTAAGCATTTTTATTTCTTTTGTCTTCTAATGTTGCTCCTGTGCACTCCCCACTCCCTCCCATTTACTGTTCAATACAATAATTCCATTAGAGCAGACACTTTCATTTATTTATTATTTTACTTATATAACCCATTATGTAGAGTAGTACCTTGCATGTAGAAGGTCAGTACATGATTGTTGAATGAATGAATATGAATGATCTTAATTTGTAAATTTTTACAAAGTAGAGTGTTAAACAAATGAAAGGCATGATTATTTAATGAACATCCAAACTTGAAAGATATGTGTCTCAAGCACGAATTTTCTAAATGAGAATCTAGGAGATTTTGTTTATTTAGAACCTCTGTTTTATTTAGAGACTTTGGAATGCCTATTAGGTTCATAACTTTTTTGTTTTATTTATTCTCAAGACTCTTCATATAGTGAACCAGATATGTAATTCCTAAACTATGATTAATTTGAGATGTTAATATACTTTGCAGATGTTATAACATCAAGTATGGAGATGTGAAGATAGGATTGTGTATGGAGTTTCAAAAACCTTCCTTTCTCCATGATAGGTTCCTTGATGTTCTTCCTATACCTCTCCTCCCTTCCTAAGGATATATCTCTATTTTCTTTATATACTATACAATCTCTTCCTTTCACATAATACTTAAAGATTTACTTTTTTTTTTTTTAAAGATTTTTTTTTAGATTTTTTTTTTTTAATTTTGTTTATTTATACAAGCACTGGGTACAGTCAGAAGCACGGGAGGGTAAGAGAATTCACCAGAGCCAGAGCGGGGAGCAGAGCAGGCAGAAGGACTGAAGTACACTGCTGAGGGGAGCAGCGGGTGGCAGCAGAAGTCTGCGCGCCATGTGGGACCCTCGCCCGGTGGCCGGGGATCGAACCGGTGCTGCAGAGGCTGCGGGCAGCTTCACAACCCAGCGCTCAACTGCCGTGCCACTGGGGAGGCCCTAAAGATTTACTTTCTATTGTAGTAATTTATGTACTTACCTTAAATTCCTTTGCTTATCTGAAACTTTGATATCAGGATCCATTTACTTACTCATTTTTCTCTTTTGTTACGTACATTTTAGGTGCTTAGTTTTCATTACCAGAAGGAGTGATTATTTTGCTCTATGTATTAACAAATATCATATTCTCTCTTGTTTTTTTGTCCTATCACTTTTTTTGTTCTGTCATTTTTCTTGCCTCTCTTCAATCTTGGCTCTGAACACATAGAACTATTTACTGATAATTTGCTGCTTTTTTTTAAAATTAATTTATTTTTTTATTATTTATACAAGAGCTAGGGTACAGGCCAGATGCGCAGGAGGGTGAGACGATTCACCAGAGATAGAGTGGGGAACAGAACAGGCAGACTGACGAATTACACTGCTGAGGGGAGCAGTGGGCGAGACAGGAGAGATCTGTTCGCCTTGTGGGTTGCTCCAAGGCTTGCGGGCATCAAACCAGCACTGCAGAGGCTGCAGACAGCTTCACAACTCTGTGCTCAACTGCCTGCGCCACCAGGGAGGCCCCTGATAATTTGCTTCTTTTGAATCCCCCCACCCCGGAAGAAGACAGCACATTTATTAATGCTTGTTCAAGTCTCTCAAGTCCTGCAGGTTTCTTGGTCTCACTTCTTGTAGGGGATGGAGGCCTAGACATTACGAGGTCTCTACCCCATTCCTCTCCCACTCCTCCCCACCCCGCCCCAATGCTGTTCTCAGTCAGTACTGGAGTTGTTGGCTCCCCTGCACTTCAAGTACCCTGGGAGTTCACTGTTTCTCAGCCACAGGGTTCTCAAAGTGGCTTCAGGCAGTTTAGCTAAAAGAGCAGAACAGGTCCCTCATTCTGTGTCTCCTTTGGCTGAAATTGATTTTTGTTGATTAGGAATTTTTGATCTTGAATAATATTTTACTCTATCTTCATAGGATTCAACCCACTAAACCATATGTTGTATGTAGTTATGCATTTGCTATATTTTAATATAAGTTCATCTTCTCTAGTTTTCTCTTTAAATTAGAAAATCGCAAAATATGAATTTTTTAATTATTTGAAATTTAAACTAGAGAAGGGTTTAGTATGGTCCTTATTACATTGAGACTCATGGTAAACATCGAGTTTGCCACCTACAAATATCAAAATGTTTATTGAGAGCTTTATTTTAATAAACATGTAATAGAATTTCATTATGTTGAACAGAATTTAATGTAGACTTTGGGGAACAATCAAATATGAATTGTGACATAATTTCTTTTATAGAACTTATTAAGTTTGTTCCCTTGGAAAATTATACATTAAAAAATGATAACTTATTTTGGAATAGTTTGTCTCCTTATTTAACTCTTTTAAAATTAAAAGAGTAATACCTACAAAAATGTGCAAAAGGTTTACCATAAAAACCTCCATTTTATCCCAGATTTCCAATTCTTCCTTTAGTATATGTGCTACCAAAGCAACTACCAGATTTCCAGTTTTTTCCCCCAGAGTGATCACAATTAACTTCTAGACTTCTTTAAAATGTTCTATACCTACAAAAGTATATATCAGGCTCTTACTTTTCATCCCAATTTGCTTTAGTTTTAACACACAACTGGGATCTATATTGTTCTGTACTTTGCTTTTTTAATTTTTACAAATTGTCTTATAAATCTTTACATATCAACACTGAGTCAATTAATTTTTTTAAAGCCTATGTAGAACAGAACAAGCCATAATGCTTTCATTTCTTTATTTTCTTCAATGAAACAAAAGTAAATGCAGATTGATATTTCAAAGTTTGATACCAGCATTGATAATTCAAGATGAAAATAAAACAAAGAGCTTAGGTTTAGTAGGATGATTGTTGGAAAAAATGGAAAACAACAGGCAATATTATGAAAGAATCAGCACTTTCCTTTCAATGCTAATTCAAACTGAAAAAGCAACAATTATCTAAGACTCCTAGTTTTCATAAGGGTGAGATATCTTTGCTTTGGTGACAGACTTGGCTGGATTATCACTTTTTTAAAGTTTATGTTGTAAAGTGTTGTTCTACATTTTTAATAATTATTACTTTTGTTAGCTAAATATCACTAAACTATTAAGAATTCTTCTTAAATAAGAATATATATTTTATAGATCTTCTTAAAAAATATATCTTTTATATATCTTCTTAAAGAAGATATATAAAAATGTTTATATAGTAGTAAGCTGTGCATCCTAAGGTAAATAGTGTCTGTAAGCAGATCTTGAAAATAGTATAAAGTACTTTGAAATTTTATTCTTAGCTATTTGTATTGTTAATACTTAAAAATGAACTTTAAGAACCTTCTTAGAAACTATTATTTGCTATGTCTCAGTCCATTTTAAGCTTTTATTTTTTGCTCCTGATCTGTCACTCCTGTATTGTAGATAGATAATCATTGATTGGTGTATTTCTTTGGTTCTTTTTTTTTTTTTACTATGGAAATACATATGTTGTCTTCTTTTTTTTTTTTTTAATTTTTAGGGGCTGCTTTCTTACCTCATCATTGATAGGCACACTTGCACTAAGCCTTACAATACCTCTGTCCATAATAGCAGACATGTGTATGCAAAAGGTAAGGCATGCTCTTTATTAGATATAATATGTATATTATTAAAACAAAACTAATGAAAGTTAAGGAATGTGACTTACTAGAAAATGCCTTATAAAATTTTAAGTGATGTGACTGTGAATAACAACAATTGATACCTTCTCTTCCAAAGTTCTTTACTACAGAGCATATAAAAAGTACCAAGGAAATGAATAATTTCTTGCACATTTACCTTTTCAATTTTTGTCCTCTTAATGTTTAAATTAAGGGTAGTATTTGCATATATAGTTCGTTAGTTTTGGAGGTGATTATGTTCCATATGTTCTTTGGTAAGTCAGCAGTGTAGAATAGGGAATGTATTTTACCATATCAGTGGTAGCAATTTTCTGAGATAAACCTCAACTACTTAACACTTCCCTTGTACTGCTATGAGCAGCACAGCAACAGCATTTCTCAGTGAATGCTCCTTTCTCCTGGACTCTGCAAGGCGGGTACTCCTTTCCTCTTCTGTGAAGTCCTGGTCTGGATATGGGGGTTCTTGTCAATACTGGCAGTGACAGGATCGCAGAAGAGAGAATCGCAAGTGTCCTTCCCAGCAGCCTGTAAGGAAGAATTGCTTTCGTTCTGTTAGAGGAAAGAGCAAGAAAAGAGGTGTGCCATTGGCTAAGGCAAAGAGAGGTACTGTAGCCATTATCAGCCAATTCAGTATTTATAAGCTTTTAACTCCAAGTAGTAATTAACATATTGATTTGTATGGGGGTGAGTGGTGAGTTAGTATAAGGTGAAGAGGGACTACTTGAAAATAAAAAGCTTATAATATATAGAAGTTATAATTAGTTTTTTAAAGGTACTTTATTTAGATTTCTGTAGTTTTTAGGATAAAGGCAAAATACTGTCAGTGATTTGTATACTCTATAAAACAATTCTGTGCTGTTATTTAACTTTGTTGTGTGGTTCAGTAAATTCTTATTTGTCATGGTTAAAAGAAATTTTCCTTTAATTGAGAAATAACGATCTTATATGTCATGCGTGTTCAAAGAAAATGAATGTTATAAAATATACATGACATTAAAGTTACACATCAGATTTTTTCATAGCTGTAAATAATATCTAGGTTGTTCCACATCTCAGGGTCACAATTTTTGATGTCAACCAAAATTGTTCTAATTAAACTAGGAAAGTGCTTGCTTATTAGAGGATTTTGGTAGACTTAAGTAAACGCACTTTACCCTACTGATATGAAAATATCTGATTTTTCACATTTGAAAAATAAAAATCGAGGGCCTCCCTGGTCGTGCAGCAGGTTGAGCGCAGCACTGTGAAGCTGTCCGCAGCCTCTGCAGCGCGGGTTCTCTTCCCAGGAGGCCAAGGAGATACCCACATGGCATGGCAGACCTCTCCTGCCTCGCCTGCTACTCCCCTCAGCAATGCTTTTGGTCTGTCTGCCTGTTCTGCTCCCCGCTCTGTCTGGTGAATCCTCTCACCCCCTGGCACATCTGGCCTATACCCCAGCTCTTGTGTAAATAAATAAATCTTTGAAAAAAAAAAGAAAAAGTTGAAGGTTAATTTTAGGAGATTTTTTTTTAAAAGAACTACCCCAGGCAACCTAATTTCATTAAATGATTGTATAATTTGTTTAATCAAATACTGAACGATAAAGGCAAAACATAGGAATAGAGAAAATTTAAGTATATAGTTGACTAGAGAAACATTAAACATTCAGTCTTTTCTTGATTATATTCATATCTAGAAGTAGACAGCCTTTTATTTATTATTATTTTTTAAAGATTTTATTTTTATTTATACAAGAGCCGGGGTACAGGCCAAATGCGCGGGAGGGTGAGAGGATTCACCAGAGACAGAGCGGGGAACAGAACAGGCAGACTGACTGAAATACACTGCTGAGGGGAGCAGCGGGTGATATAGGAGAGGTCTGCTCATGATGTGGGTTGTTCCGAGGCCGGCTGGAATCGAACTGGCACTTCAGAGGCTGTGGACAGCTTCACAGCACTGTGCTCAACTGCCTGCACCACCAGGGAGGCCCTAGACAGCCTTTTAAATGAGCTGTCTGTGCCTGAGGTGGAAATTGAAACTAGGGAGATACCTACTAGAAAAAGTAGCAGTGATACTGTGGCGTGGTAATAGAAACATGGTAGGAGAATCTACTTTCATGGTTTTTTTAAAAAAGATTTATTTTTATTTATTTATGCATATGAAAATGGGGGTGTAGGCCAGAGGTATGGGGTTGAGTGAGAGGATTCACCCGACACAGTGGGGAACAGAACAGACAATCTACTGAAATACACTGCTGAGGGGAGCAGCGGGTAAGACAGGAGAGGTCTGCTGCACCGTGTAGGTTAGCTCATGCCACAGTATCTAGTGATAACTTGAAAGCACTGAGACTTATCCCCTGCACCACCAGGGAGGCCCTGGGGTTGTTTGATTTTAATAGCCAATTGTTTTATACACACACAGTTATACACACAAAATAATGTGATATTGGGATAAAAATAGACACATAGACCAAAGGAATAAAATTGAGAGCCCAGAAATAAACCCACTTTTATATGGACAATTAATCTATGACAAAAGAGCCAAAAGTACAATGGAGAAGGAAAGTCTCTTCAACAAATGCTGCTGAGATAACTATACAGCTACACGCAGAACGATGAAACTAGAACACTCTCTCACACCATATGCAAAAAATTAACTCACAGTAGATTAAAGACTTAGATATGAAACAGGAAACCATGAATACATGGAAGAAAACATAGGCTAAACACTCCATGACATTGGTGTCAGTGATGTCCTTCGTGACTTGACTCCAAGAACAAGGAAACGAAATTGACTGTCCATCAGACTACATCAAGCTACTGTATGATAGAAAAACTATTATTAAAGCAAAAGACACCCTATTGAATGGAAGAAAATACTTGCATATCATACATCTGTCAAGGGGCTAAAATCCAAAGAACTCACATAACTCAACAAAAGGGAAAGGAAGAATCCAATCAGAAAATGGGCAGAAGAGCTAAATAAAAACTCCTTCAAAGAGAACATGCAGATAGCCCAACAAGCACATAAAAGAAATACTAAATATCACTTATGGTCAGGAAAATGCAAATTGAAACCACAGTGAGATACCTTCTCCCATGAGAATAGCCCATTATTAAAAAAGCAGTAGCACATGTTGTTGAGGGTATGATGAAAAAGGTGCCTTCATATACTATATTATTGGGAATATATACTGATCCAGCCCCTATGGAAAAAACATTATGAAGCTTCCTCAGAATATTAAAAATGTTTATACCATATGATCTGATAATTCCATTCTTAGGTATCCACCCGAAGAATGCAAAATCACTGATTTGAAGGATGTAAGCACTTCTGTGTTCATTTGTAGTACTGTTTACGAAAATAATCTAAATGCCCGATGACAGGAAAGATTAAGAAGTATGGTATATATATACCTGACGGAATTCTACTCAGTTATAAAAAATGATGAATCCTTGCCATTTGGGACAACATAGATGGAACTAGAAGGGATTATGCTAAATCAGAAGGAGCAAAAAAAATGTCAGATGATTTCACTATGTGGCATATAGAGAAAGAAAACAAAGAGGCTGACAAAACTAAGCCAGAACCAACCCTAGAAATATGACTGCAGGATTGAGGCTACTGGAGGGGGAGGAAAATTGGGAGTGGGAGCAAAGAGGTGGCGGCAGTGGTCACAGGTCAAGGACTGGAGGTGATTTGATGTTGGAGGCGGTATGGTGAGGTACACCTCAAGATGAGTGTGAGCCTGTTCCCCTAGATCATGTACAGTTTTGTGAACTAGTGTTACCTCAATTAGAAAAAAAAAATTCAGGGGCCCCCTGATGGCCCAAGGGATTAATTCTCAGCACTATGAAGCTATCAGCAGCCACTGCAGCTCCCTGCCAGGGAGCTACCCACATGGCACAGCAGACATCTCCTGACTCGCCCACTGCTGCCCTCAGCAGTGTATTTAGGTCAGTCTGCCTGTTCTGTTCCCCACTTTGTCTCTGGTGAATCCTCTCACCCTCCATACCTCTGGCCTACACCTCAGTTCTTGAATGCATAAATAAAATAAATCTTTAAAAGGAAAAAAAATCATAGTCTGTTGGAAAGCAAATTAGAAATTTTTTACTATGTGGCAACCACAAATAACTGCATTTTTAAAGTGAATTTTGCCTTTCAAAGTCCTTTGTTTACTTATCTTTATAGAGTTTGTCTTTATTCAGTTATATAGAGTATTTTTTAGTTGAATATCCATGAAGTCATTCTATCAAGACTTTTAAGTCAGTCACAGGTATTTCATACTTTTTTAAATCTTAGACCATTTAACTAAATCATGTATTTTCTAGGTAAAGTGTCTGGCAAATATCCAAAAATTTATTATGCCCATAATTTGATAATAATAGGAAGGTTTTTTTTTTTTTAAGTTTTTCTTAATGTTATTTCCTGGGTGTTCTTAGAGTAACTCAGCCTGTGTGTGTATCATATCAGCAGGCTGTACATGTTAGAAATTATCAGTGAATTTTCTTGTGTTATGTATTGAGTCCCTCATTAAAAAAAAACTTTTTCTTACAAAACCCCTCCATTGACTTATGGTGCTGTGAAATGGAATAGTGTATGTTTCCCACTAGAGGGAGTCTTAGGTACCTATGATTCTAAACCTCATTTTTTTTTTTAATGCTCAAAGAGGGTGAGTGCAGTTTTTCTTATTTTAAACACAGGAATTACTATTTTCATCACTATGAAAGCACACTACCAGTGTGTTGCAGCTGAGTCTTAGTGGTTGATCAGTGCAGGTGATTTGGCTATTGTTTTTGATCATTAGTTAAAATCTAGATGGTAAAGGTAAACTAGTAAAAGAATGATTTTCTTTAGTATCTTTTAGCACCAATTTTTTACTTTTTGTAAGAACCCTGAGAAAATGATGTATTCAAGGGTAAGACTTGGATATGTGAGGGCTTTTCGCTGCTGAGGTTCAGTTTCCTTTTTGTCTTTACCAGTGGCTAATATTTCTTAGTAAAAGTGTTCCTATTTGTTATCTTTCTTTTTCTTTCTTTCTTTTTTTTAAGATTTATTTATTTATGCATACAAGAACTGGGGTACAGGCCAGAGGTGTGGAGGGTGAGAGCATTCACCAGAGACAGAGTGGGGAACAGAACAGGCAGATTGACTGAGATACACTGCTGAGGGAAGCAACGGGAGAGACAGGAGAGGTCTGCTGTGCCATGTGGGTAGCTCCCTGGCCGGCCAGGGATCACACTGGTGCCTGGCTGCGGATAGCTTCATAGTGCTGTGACTCAACCCCTTGCGGATAGCTTCATAGTGCTGTGACACAACCCCTTGCGCCACTAGGGAGGCCCTGTTTTTAGTTTTCTTAGTGAATGTTTCCACTTGAAATTTTTCATTTGTTTCTAGAAGGCTAGTGTTAAGAGTAAGGATTAGAATTTGTTGATAAAAGGCCTGAGATAGTTGTACTTCAAAGTTTTTAGTACTATTTTAAGAATATTGTTTAATTATACATCACAACTATAGCATAATGTAGTTTTTAATGATCTGAGTTTTTGAAGATGACTTCAGAAACCGAAAAGGAGAGTTCAATTGAGAATAGGGAGTAATCGGTAAAGAAAAAATTGGCAATGTGATGTGTAAGACAGAAGCTTCAAGTTTCATAATTCTGCTCTGGAATGTACTAAACCTAATAAATGAAAAGCATACTTACTGTCCTTCCTGTGGAATATTTTCCAAGCGAGAAGTATTTCTGTTGGTAATTTAAGCAAGTAGTAGTACATTGAAGTCTCCAATCCTATACTTACTAATAATATATGTAGTATATTGTCAGTGCTTAATATTATTTTCTTAGTGTTTTAAGTTATTCCTACAAGTTTTCATAAATGGAAAATGCATGTTAAAGGGGAAAATTGTCTTACTGATAATTGTAAGAGTTTTCTGTCTTTTTTTTTTAGGTGCAGTTTTCTTGGTTATTTTTTGCAGGCGCTATCCCTGTATTTTTTTCCTTTTTTATTGTTACTCTTCTATGCCATTATAATAATTGGGATCCTGTGATGGTGGGAATCAGAAGAATTTTTGCTTTTATATGCAGAAAACATCGAATTCAGAGGTACATGTCATCAGTATGAGTTTTTAATGTTTGCTAAATTAACTGGGGTCATGTCATGCTGGCCTAGGGTTAGATATTTTTGTGAAGAATTTTTGAGGTTATAATTTATATAAAGTACTATTTCAGATAAAACTAAAATATTTTGTTCAGATCTTCTGAGTGATGTAGTAGTTTCTTCGCAATTTTTAAAATTAGGTTTCATACACAAGTAGAACCAGATTGCTTACTGTTTGGCTGTAATTAATTTAAAAATGGAAAACTTGTATTAGTTTCAACAAAATTCATAATGAAATGTGATAATAGCATATGAAACTTTTTAAAAAATTCTTCGTTTTAAAGAGAGAAAGCTTTTACTAATCTATTATAAAAAGTAACTTGAGACCCATTGTTAGGAAATCTTGCCCTAGTGTTGCATCTGACCACATAGTTTCCGCTGACAGAATAAATCATTTTTAAGAGTTCCTTTTAGCTCTAAGGCTTTCCTTAACTGTATTCTCTCTCTCTCTCTCTCTCTCTCTCTCTCTTTTTTTTTTTTTTTTTGTATTCTCTTTTTGAAGGGTTCCAGAAGACAGTGAACAGTGTGAGAGTCTCATTCCTATGCATGGTGTTTCTCAGGAGGATGGATTGAATTAGCTGTTGTCTGTAAACCAGGTTTGTATGTTAGTGGCATTAGTGCTGACTAAGGTTCTTATTGTTATAATGCTCCTATACAAAATTGATTTTCCATAATTAGTTCTTTGAGAGGTAATGCAGCTTAAAGGCTAAGGGAATCAAACTGGGTTCCAATTCCAAAGTCTCCATGTAGCAGCTCTGTGAACCGATGTAAGGTTGACTCCTATGCCTCAGCCTTCTTTTTTGTGAAATGAAGTTACTATAGACCTGCGCTTATAAGAGTGTTAGAAGTAGTAAATACTTGGGAAATTTAAAGTATGTGCAATAGTACCTCACTCGAATTAAGTAATCCCAAGTTTACTTATTTTATTCATGCTTAGTATAATATTTTATCTAATGTCATATGTTAGAGATATATTTTTTCTCTGTGTATGAAAGTGAGAAGCCTAATACTTTGATGTATATATCCAGTCTTTTCTCTTTGCACATGTGTGTTTACCATAATTGGATATGCAATATATATCCTAAGTCATTGACTGCTTTTTCACCTTACAATAATTCAAAAACATTTCCCCATTTTTTTCAAGTTTTAGGAAATACTGTTTTTTATATTTCTTACATGACAGAAGGAGTAGCTGACATTTTATGTTTCACTGAATGAATGCTTGAAATGCATTAAACATACGTCTTTGGCAGGTACAAAAGTGATTATGTATTTTAGAATGAGAGATCTCAGTAAATTACTGAAATTCAGGTTCATTTTTCTGCAGTAACTTTAGGCAATTTATATTGAAATGTTTCCTGATTGCAGTTGAACTTCCCTCTTTACCCAGAACGTAAAACAACTCTGAGCACCTTGCATCACATTGGCCTTGAAGCCTGTTTCTTTATCTTTGTGGTAAATTTACCTCTACTCTAAGGCTAATTGTTTTATGTTTTTCTTTGTTCATTTTTTATTCTAGCATTTACTGTTATGATGGCTATACATGCAGATAATTTGAAGATTCAGAGTTTCATAAGACTTCTTGGATAAGGCACTAATGCTGCCCTGCACTACCTATCCTGCTTTCATTCTTTCCCAATACAGGGAATCACTTTAAACTCTGTAGTCAGTTCTTCCCTCTCTAAGTACCATGCTTATACTTCTGTTTCTTGATTTCTCAGTTTTAGGCATCTTCAATTGATTTTCCCACTTTGGTAGATGAGTATAGAGATTGTCAAGTTTCTCACTTCACTTTTCCCAGCCCACTTGCCTGCCTTCATACCATATATAATTCCTACTTTGTTATTGCCCCAGTACAGTTATTACATAATTATGGACAGATCTATAATATTATCAATGCTTACATTGTTTTGACTGTAAAAATATTACTTTCACCTGAGCCAAGTAAGATTGTACTTGGCGTTTTCCTAGTCCACAGGCCCTCTGTTCATATGAACCTCAAATACTCTCCTGACATGGAGAAGTACTTGATCAGCTGTAAAAAAGTAAGGGGAGGGCATCTCAGTGTCTCTTTTTTCCTATAAACTTTGTACCATTTTCCTGTTTTTAGTTGTTTCTTAACCTCTCCTTACAGAGATGACTGGTTTTATTGCCCTGTTTCTAACTAAGGGTTAGCTGCTATTTTCTTGGCTCTGCTCTTAGCTCATGTGGTTCATTCTTTAAAAAACAAAATCCTTTCTTTTACTGAGGTTTTGAGGCCAGAGATACACTAAGTAATTATTTATTTGCTATCGTAAATTTTAAAATGACACACAGTTATCTTGAAAGACTTTTAATACTATAATTTATGCATTTTTTCCCTAGCATTGCTGTGTGTTATTTCTGTACTCTCACTCATACCCACTCTAACCCAGGCAAGGTTTCAATTTTTGGGGAAGTGAGAGCTGAGTAAAAGGGCAAGAGTGAAGATGGTAAAGAGATGGTAAAGACCTGCAGTATAGTGAAAATGAGACAGGTTGGGTAGGAGTCTTTATCTTCACAGGGGTAATAGTGGAATATACTGGCATTACACAATCTTTTAAGTGTGCTGGACATCAGCATTTGATATTGCTATCCAACTCATTTTCAGGAGTTCTTGGTGCTCAGAGTTTTGAGTAGACAGTTATTAAAGTAAGTATATATACTGCATTTGATACATATTTCAATGCTAAGATAGTTTGCTTTTTAAAATGTGTAGAAAAATAAAAGCTATGACAGTCATAATCTAATGATGATTTTGTATTTTTTTAATTTTAGTTTGAAAATGGAACATTACACAGCGAAGAGACAATCTCTGGCAAGTTTTCGTAGAAAAATGTTTCAGTGCCTAGTCTGAAAATAACAGTTTCAGTTCTTTGGAACTCTGAAATATATTTTCCTCATATCTGTTTTCTTCATTTTTGTAATGAAGAACTTTGTTATGTAGTTGAGTACATATCACTACAATTATAGGAAGTTCCAGTCTACAGCCCATGTAAAGGACCAATTTGCCTTACACATCTCAAGGAGTTCAGCTGATGACATGATTTGAATTAATCAAGGAATAAAATCTTAATGTCTGGAGATTTTATTTTCACATATTATTTGTTAAATGCTGGACTATATTATGAAAATGTTTTTAAGAAATCATTTAAGTGTGTAGATCCATGTTTCTTACAGATAAAATGCTAACATAAGATGCCTATAATAGGTACAGGTTATATTTTTGAGTTTTGTAGAATATTGCAAACTAACAACACAGAAAAAAAATATTTAATTTATGTAGCAGGTATGTTCATGCAAATTTACTGGGACTTTAAAAATAGCATTTTTAGAAAATTTCTGGTTCATTTACACTACATATACTGTGTTATCCTTTCATAGCATTAGGTGCCTTGTATTTCAAATCTGTGACAAACCATGACAAATTGTTAAGGGGAAGTATTGTAAAATGAAGAATTATGTATTTCTAAAGGATGTATTGCTATAAATTTAATTGATAAAAGCTCTTCTTAATTTAGAGTTTTGAAGAAATAGTCTCTTCAATTAAGAAATTTTCATAATGGAATGACTTTAATTGAAGTGATAAAGAAGATTATTAAAATAAAATGTTTATATATGTGTATTTGTGTATTACAGATCTGTTAATTGGTTTCTGATTTTTTTCCTACATATAAATGTGGCATATTACTCTAGAACTGGATATCTCTTTAAATAATTCTAGTTTTTCCAAATAAATATTTAATGACTAAAATACAAAGAAGGCAAGAATTCTACTTTAAAAATTAAAATTGAATTTTTCTTCTACCAAGCTTAAATTATTGAATATTCCTAGTTACAACCCTATAACTTAGGTTTTTCTTTAAAAGGCATTTTATAATAAATACACCTTAGATGTAGCAGTAAAATTCATTATTGTTACCATGAATCTTTTAAAACAAAAGAACTTCACTGAGATAATGATCACAATGTGGGAACTGTAGACCCCCAGATTGAAAACTTGTAAGGAACCAAAGTGAAAAAAGTAATTCCAAAACTAAGTTAAACTTTGGTCTTATATGTATTTACTGTGTAACTGCTCCTGGTCTCTATGATAGATATCAGTTGATGAATAGGTCTTAGGATTCACCCAGGTTTTTGATTAGTCAGAACTGATTTCCTGTTTTGTGAGGATAGTTTATTTCTCTTCAAGTTCCATAAAAAATCTGATTTTTTACAAATCCTCTTTGCATTGTTTAACTTCAGTTTGTCCTTTCATATTCTTAAAATTACGTTGGTGTTACCGTGAGTCTATAATGAAGTTTAGCCATCTTCTTAGTCCTGTGAATTTTTACATGGTATTAATTGAAAATATTATTTGTGATAGTAATTTAAAAAGAATACAGATAGCTAGCCTCCTATTTTTTGTCACAATAATTCTTATTAAGAGTAATACTGGTTTAGTTATCTTGACACAGAGTAAAAGTCAAGTTAAGAATGTGGATCTCTGAGGACTTTTAAAAAGAGCTTAGTGAAGTACCATTTCATTTACTTTGAAGACAAACTTTGGTTAAAGTTTATAACTTATACACCTCTACTTTCCTTTTTTTGCTGTTTGAAAGTTCAACACCTTTTGCAGTTTTCTAGATACAGTAATTGGAACAGTGGAGATGAAACCCAAATTTTAAATTATTCTATAAATATGGTAGGAAAAGAGGTTAAACTTATAATTTTTGGTTTGTTCATGTGCTTTGTAGTCACACTAACATACATATCCTGTGTTGTCACTTAGGATTCTGGAAGTAATAAGCCTTAGTTAGCAGACTAGATAGTTCTTGAACAGGACTTCTTCCACTAGGCTGCTAGTTTTTTTTTATTAAAGACAACCTCTTAGAAGGAAGCATCTTTAAATTAGCTAACTGAAAGTATGAATTATTGCTGCTTTACTTGCCCGCTGTTATCTTTTCCATCAGGTTTTATCTGAATAATTTTTGTATTTGAATACTATAGCCATGGCAAGTGAACAACTGAATACTTCCTTTTTCACCCTTGTAATTAAGGGCTCATCTTTTCAGGAAATAAATTTGTGGATTACTTTCTTTCGTGATTACCCAAATATCTAGGTTTCAAGGCCCTAGGATCACAGCAACCACATTGCAGGCCTTTGTAAATGCTAGGGAGAGGTTACCTTTAAGTAACTGCTGATGTCCTTCTGTAGTGTCCTTCCTTTGTTAGAGGAGCATTGGCCCATTATTATATTTTTCTGAATTTAAAGACACAATCGGGATTTATAATAACCTTTCAGTCTTCTACTTTTCTTCCCATACATAATTTAAAACCCATTGTTGTCTAATGTTTCAAATTATGACCTTGATTGAAGGAAGTCTGCTATTTTGTCAGAAAGATTTTCTGTCAGAAGAATTTCAGAATCTCTACTAGAACAACTGAAAAGTGAGGCAGCCTTAAAAGTGCTTAGATGAATGCTTTTTGGAGTTTATGAAAATCGTTCGGTATATGTAATGCACCTATACTTGTCCTTTAAATAAGTTGTTTTTTTTTTTTTTAAATTGGTATATTGGCCTCTATCAGCCTTCTTAATTCCTTACATTAAACTGATTTTCCCCCTTGGCAACTGATGAATAAAGTCCAGTTTTTATAGACGTGAGCTCACAAGGTTAAATGTGAATTTTCTCAAAGGTATACAGCCTTTTTCAGTAAGAATGCTAATGCCCACTTTACAATCAATCATGCAGAGCCAATTTGAGGTTACAAAGTATGATTCCTCTGGAAGCCAAGCTTTTTCATAAGACCACAGTAGGTTCTGTAGCACTAATCCTCAGTGAGCTGATTGAAGAAATAAAATACCCTTAAAGTAGGATGAAGTTAGACTTAATTAGAAAATATTTTTCCCATAATCATTTGCAAATAAATGACATTTTTAATATAAGTGATTCTTTGTTCTAATCCTTCATTTCTTTCTACTTCCATTTTAAAATAGTCTGTTACAAAACCAGAATTACATAGTTAACTTACATAGTTAAAATATTGTTTGATTTCTTTTTTAAAGTGGTGTGACATATATGAGATATTCAGTTGACAGGATTTAGAGTTGTGTTTAAGTGTTTGTCCTGTACCCAAATTCCATTTTGATAAATTGAGATAAATATTTTACATAGACTTAACATTTTTAGCACTTCTCACTTTTTTTTTTTAAATGATTTTTTTTAAAAAAGATTTATTTATTTATTTATATAAGAACCGGGATGCAGGCCAGATTCGCGGGAGGGTGAGAGGATTCACCAGAGACAGAGCAGGGAACAGAACAGGCAGACTGATGAAATACACTGCTGAGGGGAGCAGCGGGTGCGACAAGAGAAGTCTGCTGTGCCATGTGGGACCCTCGCTGGCCGGCCAGCATTGCACCGGCGCTACAGAGACTGCAGACAGTTTCACAGTGTGGCGCTCAACCACCTGCGCCACCGGGGGAGGCCCACACACTTTTTTTTAAATGGTAGCAACCTTATCTGTGCAGAAATTAATACTGTGGTGTTTGGTAATTTGTACACTGTATGAACACAGAAAATTTCCCTTTAAATTTTAAGAGCTTTTTATAAATTGGGGACAGAAAAGGAGTTTATTTTAATCAGAAGTAATGACTGAGAATATGAAACTTTTTTGTCATCAGGAATAAAAATTGCAGAATAATTGAAATATTTTAACTTTAACTCATTAAAGTTTAACTCACTTCCATTTTGATATTTTTTGTAAAACGATTGTGGTTTACATATCTTTAAGAATTATTTTAATATTGCATTTAAAAACAATGCTTCCCTATAAAATTTCCTATATGCAAAATACATTAGTAGTAAATGTCTAATAATAAAGTCATTGGCATGTATTTAAGGAAATATTACATGTAAAAAGTAATTAATACCCTTGGTTAGGCATAAATGACAAGCTATACAATGAGAATGTTTTGCTTTTGATAACTCAAAATGTGTGTGTGTGTGTGTGTCGGCATGTTTGGGGTGGAGAAGCACTCAGATAAAGACATTTTCTTCATGATATTTTAAACTTGGAAAAGTAAAATTTTTTGGTTGAAACTTAATAGGGCACTTCATGAAGTTTTTAGTTTTTAGGGCCTCCCCGGTGGCGCAGCGGTTGAGCGCTGGGTTGCAAAGCTGCCCGCAGCCTCTGCGGCACCAGTTCAATCCCCGGCTGCTCCCCGGCCACCGGAGGAGGGTCCCACATGGTGCGCAGACCTCTCCTGCCGCCCGCTGCTCCCCTCAGCAGTGTACCTCGGTCCTTCTGCTTGCTCTGCTCCCCGCTTTGGCTCTGGTGAATTCTCTCATCCCCCACACCTCTGACTGTCCCCAGTGCATGTATAAACAAAGCAAACAAATAAATAAATAAAACATGCCTCTATTAAAAAAAAAAAATTAGTTTTTAATTTAAGTTACAGGTGACATTTTTTCTTAAGACCTACTTTTACTAACTTTAATTTAGATCCTTGCATACCATTGCTTCTCGGCCTTGTGGCTAAGATCAAGTGTAGATCCTTGCATACCAAGCATTCAGTATTTCACTACTTGGTTTTCCTATACCTAGTTTTAATTATGCAAGTAATAATAAAGTTAGTCATGCTAGTGTCCATAGATTTCAGTGGGGCCCTTGAAAGGCAGGCATAAGATTTCTGTCTTACAATTCTTCAGAATCTTACTACCAGCATTTGTTTATTTAGAAATAGTTTTCATGGGCCTTCCTGGTGGTGCAGGCAGTTGAGCGCAGCGCTGTGAAGCTGTCCCACAGCCTCTGCAGTGCCAATTCGATCCCTGTAGGACTCGGAGCAACACACATGGCGCAGCAGACCTCTCCTGTCTCTCCCGCTGTTCCCTGAGCAGTGTATTTCGGTCCTTCTGCCTGTTCCATCCCTCCTCTGTCTCTGGTGAATCCTCTCACCCTCCTGCACCTCTGGCCTGTACCCTGGTTCTTGTATAAATAAAATAAATCTTTAAAAAAAAAGTTTTCACATTTTTTTCTTGTCAAATAACTCACTGTCACATACCATATAATATCCGAAACAAAATTTTGTTGAAGGCTACTACCTTTGTGTTAATTATTCTGATGTGGAGTATAATACTCTTAAGTTCTTTTTTATTTTTTTTTAAAGATTTTATTTTTATACAAGAACCAGGGTACAGGCCAGATGTGCGAGAGGATGCTAGGATTCACCAGAGACAGAGCAGGAAACAGAACAGGCAGACTGACGAAATACGCTGCTGAGGGGAGTAGTGGGCGAGACAGGAGAGGTCTGCCGTGCCATGTGCGATTCTCGCCAGCCGGCCAGGATTGAACCCACGCTGCAGAGGCTGCGGACAGCTTCACAGTGCCATGCTCAACTGCCTGCACCACCAGGGAGGCCCTACTCTTAAGTACTTTTGACCTTTGTAATAAGGTAGTAAGTTAGTGTAAAATTGTATATATTTTAATATATATATGCTCTAGGTTTCAGGGAGATAACATGCTATAGCCGTGGCTCCCAAACCTGATCACACGTCAACATCACCTGGAAGGCTGTTAAAAACAGACACCAGTGAGAATGGCACATATTAAAAAAACTAGCAACAACAAATGTTGGCGAGG